GATCCGTGTGTGGAAGGGACATAAGGCAATCCACCAAATTACTTTTTTTCCCAGCATGCTTATACTTTTTGAAAAGACTACTTCAAAGTGAACTTAGTTGCAAGAACGCTGCATGGCAGAGTTCAACATTAGGACACATGCTTTGGAGGTTTCTTCATTACATTTTTTCTTTAAATCTGCTACTTACGTTGAATAATGGAAAAGGGCCGGTATATACTGCGATCATTTTTCATTTTCCCCCTGTGACTCACTCCTCCTTATCAGCTGGAGAGAGAAGGACTTTGGAGCGGGTCGGGATTGTAGGGCAAGGAAAGCTGTTGTGTGTAGGACATGGTTATGAAGAGCTTGCAAGATGTGAATGAAACAGAAGGCTGAGGGGTGCAAAGGAAGAGAAGGACATCTGAACGGTGACGGAGTCAGGCACCACGGCAGCCTCTGCCCTGCAGCTCCCACACCATCCCTGTGTGGATCACGCTTGGTGGGTTCTGGTTTCCAACCTTTGGTAGGAGTGTTGATCATTGATCCTTGCTACAGATGTGCACAAGGGGAACACTATCCACAGGGTAGCATGCAAAACGTCCCGTGATGTTTCTAGCTGGATCCTTGCTGTCAGTTGGCTGCTGACAATCTCGACTCTTGTCTTGGTATGGTAAAAAATATGTTTGCAGAACGTTCAGATACTTATCTCATGCCACTCGTCAAGAACCCAGAGGAACAAGCCCCCATTCTGTACTACATTTCGATGCTGCAGAGGAGACACTGCACAGAAAGATGAAATACACTGGAAATAGACCATACTCTCCTGAATAACTATCCTGAGCATAAAGTCCTCTGGAAAAAACAGTGCACGACCCTAAAATTAAAGGCTTTCGTGCTGCATAAGGACAGAGAACTGAACTGAGATCCTATATAGCTAGTCAGACTTTTTTGCATAACTAATTTCACTGTTTAAAGTTGCTTTTTGATGTTTAACTGCAATGTAATAATTTTCACTTATAATTAACACATCATACAGTAATAAATATTAATTTAAGCATCTGCCATATTCCTGTATACGGAGAGTTGATGTTTATTTTTAAAAAAATCACTGGCAGCAAAAAGCATACTATATATGGAGAGTTGATGTTTATTTTAAAAAAATCACTGGCAGCAAAAAGCATGTTTAATGTGAGAGGATGGAATGGCAGCAAGTAGGGTCTGATTTTTCTTAGAAAAGCTGCTTTTCTGAGAAAGAGTAGATAGAGATTAGTTACCAATCTTTCACTGTCAGCACGGAGGGGCAGTATTTTCAGTAGTGAATGGGTTGATGCAATGGATATATCTGGAAATGTATTTTTGCAAGCAACTGAGAGTAGTGCGGAAAATAAGAATACAATTCAAAAGAATGTCTATAAGAGAAATATTCTGAAAAAAAAAACCAACCCAAACAACTCAGGATGTAAGGAAATAATTCCAGGGTTCTGCACTTAGACAAGACGGGAAACAGCTGCTTAGGTAGCAGATACACACTGCTCTGTCTTGGTGAGTTCCAGCTGGGGCTTCTGTTCTGTTTCGGACATGACAACATTTGAAAAGCATGTGGACAAATTAGAGAAAATCCAGAGGACAGCAATAAGAATGACTGAATATCTCAGGGACCGAGACTAAGGCACAAAGATGCAAAGGGAGGGTGGTGTTTAGTCTACAGAAGGAGTGCACAGTAACAGGCAAAGATCATGAAAGGCAAAAGGATAGTTTGTCACTAGGACAAGAGAGGGACTCGAAATGCAGACAGCACGACCTATGTGAAGTGAGGAGAACTCTATTAGTGAAAGGATTCAAAACCACTACGACGGATTAGAATTAATTGCTCTCTCTTGGGGCAAGAAGCCAGACAAAATGGTCCACCCTTAATGAGAATCATCCTATTCCGATTCTTCTGCCACACTGGTCTAACTGTGTCGGTAGCACAAAGTTTATAACATACCAAACACACTGCACCCTGGTTGTTACCGACCTGTGTGATAACCAGCTTTTGCTAGTATTTTCAAATTCCTCTTTTGTTCTCACTAAAGCTGTTTTAGATATCCAAAAGCAAAGAGAGCTCCTTTCTTGTAAAATGTGTCCTTTGGAAAAGAAAACAGGCTGATACCAGGCAATCTAGTCTGAATTATTTCATTGTTTGTATCATCTGACCAAAAAAATCCCTAAAACCCTTAAGTGTTTTAAATCTTGGTGATAATCCCTTGAGACAATGCCATCAAGTATTAAAAAAAGGAGAAAAAACCAGCACAGTACTAGCTTGGTTGCTCTAATAGTGATTGCATTCCAGTTAATCCATCCTTAAATTAAACTAATCAATCAGACAGAAAAAAAAAAAAAAAAAAAAGAAGAAACCTCAAGCTACTAAGAAATGAAGTATTTGCAATTCAAACTGCCCAAATCTGGAGATACAGCCTCGAGGAAAATGTGGACCAAAGTGCAGAAACAAGAAGAAAGCTTTACTTTTAAACATATAGACAAGCTTATCCATGAAGCTGCCCTAAATACTGGCCTGTACCATTCAGCCTGCAATATGAAGTGAGCTGCGGGTTCACAAAGTGGCCTGTTTTAATTGATCTCCTTACCCTGGCCAGATTTAGCTGACATATTCTTCACTTTAAGTAATCACAGCATGACCAGCAGATTTTGCTAGGATAAACAGCAAATGCAACAGCTATACAGGGATCTGAATTTGGGAAGATACACGTCTTGGAGAGACATCACCTGTATCCCATTCACCAGTTTGTCAAACCAAACCAGACCAAAAGGGCAAACCTGCATGTTTTCTCAGGAGAATTCCTAACTCTGTACCTGAGGTTTCTGGATGGAGGGTTCGCGTCAACTCCAGTTGTGTCATATCTAACGTGGCGACTGGAAGACTCACGTGGCTGTCTTGGTAAGTACCACACCTTTTATATTTTTTACTTTCTCTGTTTTCAGTGCTGATGTTTTGCTGCAGGGAGATTTGCTGTCATACTTGGTGACTACTTCTAAACATCCATGGCTGATCCTTCTGTTTGCTGCTGCACTCCTCTCCTGTAGGCACTCCCTGGATGCTGACTGTATCCCATCATTGGGATGCTGCATCCGTGGGGCATTTCTGTTGTGATTTAGAGAGGACTGTCATGGTTTAGCCCCACTGGCAGTTACGCTCCACGCAGCCACTCGCTCACTCCTCAGCCCTGTGGGATGGGAGAGAATGGGAAGGGTAAAAGCTGCTCACCTGGTCACAGGGCATGACAGGCTCCTAGACGTCACCACATAACTACAAAGCTGTCCGTGTATCCTGATGTAAAAGATGTAACTTGTTATTCCTCTTCCCATTTTGAAGATGCAATACCGCTCTGTGGCCATCTAGAAGGCCTGCTGCCTGTACTGACTTCATGCTGTTGACCAGAAACAACAAAACTGTAGGAAAACAGAAGCTCTGCTGACCCTTAGTGGCCATAACTCCACTACGGTGCTGTGGGATTGTCTTACAAATTCAAGAGTGCTGTTGTTATGCACTGTGTTTTATTTTTTTGGGGGGAAGGCGTTGACTAACTTGCTGAGGGCAAAATCTGGGGAAGTACTGCCAGCAGAGAAGAGGATCCGGGTATCACAGGGGAGAAGGTACCTGACTGTAAGATTTTATGGCATTTCCACAGAGCAAATGCAATCTTACATCTCAGGGCTATCAAAACTGACCCTGTAAACTGAAGACAAATCATTCTTTGGAAAAGATAGAATGATTGGAGGCATGAAGACTGAGTCCTGATAAGCTCAGCAGAAACCTCTGTGATGGGGAGCAGTTGGCTGGACAGAAGAAATCAGGATGGGGGCAGGACAAGGAAATTGTGATCATGAAACAGGAGTCAGCAACAACTATTCTGAGAACAGTCTCCAAATGTAACTACCTGCTTGGCTGGCTCCTTGGCTGAATGGACAAATCTGATGTCAGAGAAAAAAAACACCTGTAAAATACAAAAATTTTAGTTTCTAAATTGGAGAGGAAGGTTTGTCTTAAAGTACACCTATAAAATACAAAAAATTTAGAAACTAAATTGGAGAGGAAGGTTTGTCTTAAAGTTGATATCCAGGACATTGTCAAATTCCTACTGCTACACTCAAAATGGTCCAGTTTTCATACTGTTACGTTATTTGATTTTATCAAAATTAAGCAGAAGATAAGTTTTAGACAGCAAAAAAAAATCTTATTTTCTAAGGAATACATAGAAATTGAAAATCTTTAAATCACTAGGAAGGAGAAAAAATATTACAGAATCAGTTCTAGATACTTTTACTGAAGTCACACTATGCATGAATGAAAACACCTTTTCTGTATGTTTTTTCAATGTACCCTGCTGAGGGAAAAAGATTTATTTCAGAAGGAAATAGACATCAGAGTCCAACAGAGACTGTGCTAAGGTCTGAGAGGCTGAAGGGCATTAGTGTGGATTTACAACCATGCCTCTGAAAACAAAAAAAGCCCCACATTTCCCCCAGATCTACTTGTCCCCTGCTGGCAACCAGAGAAGTGGCCAGCCATCTGTCCTCCCCCAGGAACACCTCCACGTAGCATAGAGAACACCCTAAACGTCACAGACCTTTGCAAGCACTAGGATTGTGTACAAACAGAGAAGTGGCCAGCCATCTGTCCTCCCTAAACATCACAGACCTTTGCAAGCACTAGGATTGTGTATAGCCATATGAAATAATATCCAATTACCTTTTTTTTTTTTTTTAAACAGAAGTTTGGAGATTCCACCTCCTCTCTCCATGCCCTGTGATTTCAAGTGTTTCACTGTAGCTACTACTTCCACATGCACCCAGCTCACATAACTCTCTTGCTCATTTCAGTCCTCCTTTGGGCACACTGAAAGGATAAAGTAGTCTCTAGAATTATTACATTTGCATTCAACTGGAGAAGATAACATTCAAGACAGACCCTTTTTCTTGCTACTATACTTAAATTTTAAATAATGAAACAAAACCTGATATGTTGAGGTTGTTTATTTTAAATGGTATTCTGAAACTCGTGGTTACATACAAATTTTCAAACTATGAAGCTTAAGATGGCATGGTGACCGTCTTCACAAAATAAGGCTGCTCGGGCAATCTTATCTGAGCTGATTCCACTGAAGTTTGATTATTCAGAGTACAGGATGGCTTCAAGAAGATTGTAATCCACAAAGGCACCAAGACCAAAGGAGGTGGGCCTTCCTACATAAAAAGCCCTTCAAGCACCCCCTCAGTTACCACGGGACATTTGTTAGACTCGAGATCACCAGTGGGGACAGATCTGAGCCAAACCAACGGTCCTTGTGGAAAGGCCTTTATACTGCTACTCAAAATCTGGAGACAGACACCCGCTGCAGGGGCTTTTCCATGCCAGTCACATTCGCCGAGCTTTATTGCTCACTCAACTGGGGTAGTTAACAGAAAAAAAAAAATGAAAAAGAAAAAAAGAAGGCAGCTTATGGAGCTAAGATAATTTGGCAATGATCTTAAGAAACAGATATTTTTTTTTAAAGGAAAAATTAATAGGCATGAACAGGATTTATGTTAATACTGAAACTTCAGTTTAGATACCAGATGTAGTGATGGGATGAAATGTGTCATCCCTCAGCCAACAGACAGAAACTTCTCATTTCTCTGAATTGACATGGAAGGCAGATGAAACGCTGCCTCCTCTCGGGTTCCCCCAGCACTAAAGGTAGAGATATGCTTCACGAGTTTGTTTTATACACACGACAATTAAAAATACATTTTAGTAATGTTTCCCATAAAAATCTTACCAGTAGCACAGTACTGAAATCAGTGCAACAAAATTAAATTGACAGGAAGGAATATTTACAACTATAGTGTATTGTACCGAAATTGCAAAATCAGGAATTTCTAAAGTGCAAAGTTAGCTATATCCTACACAGATACAGGGATCTGTTTCCTTGCTTACAGTATGAACTGCTACCATCGTCACAGACGCACCACATATCCACGCTGAACCCTTAAGTGACCAAATGTCCTCCTCAGGCTGAGGGGCAGAACTCCTCTACCCAATCCAGCAGGAGGCAAACACCAGCACCCAAGGGTCAAACTTAGTCCCTCAGTTCTAGGAGCATCACACGTGGGATGGAGAGTAACTACTGCAAACCCGGGAGCATGAAACAAGGAGGGAGTGTATTTAAATACATGGAGAAAGGTATTTAAATAGAAATCTTACAAAGAGCTTAATGGTTTGTTTTATAGTAGATTAAACACGATCACTGCAATTTTAAAAGCACAAAGTAGAGGGCCCAGCACTCCATGCTTTAATCAGCTGCAGTTTTGTCCTAGTTTGGACTGGGCACAAATTTTTAAAGACTATTTACACCAACGAGATTTGCAGGTTTAGCCATGAGAGCCTCTCAAACCAGAGTGAGATCACAAAAACAGGCTCTTGCAGCATTAGAGTATTAAAAAGTCACCATTCAAAATACCTCATTCTTAAAAATTACCAAAGGGAATTGTAACAGATAGAACGTGGCTGCTAAGGTTCCAGATTAACTCAAAGTCCCCATCAATTCACCCATATTCTTAAGCATATTGGACAGTTAGTCTACATATTATTTACAGTAATTCTTGCTACTAGCCAACAAAACCCCAAACCCCCTGCTCGTTGACTCACAGCTCTCTACATTCTGCAAACTAAACAGTCTCTAATTTCTTGGGTTTGGGCAAAACTATCCGAAGTTTGCCATAGGATTTTAGCTACAAGTAAACAACGTTTGTCTTGAAAAGCAACACATGTTAAGTGAATTAGTTTGTTCCATTACTCTATTTTTAAACTACTACATCATATTTACTGAACCAGCTACGGCCTAAGAGGTTACAGAGCTAGGCTTAAGTAATGCCATAATCTGACACAATCCTCTTGGTTATACCCCAAACTATTTACAGTCAACTTGATTCAAACAAAATAATCTTTCCGAAGAAGTTGTTTGGGAATGATTTAGTCATGATCTGTTGGTTTTAAGATATTCATATACTGAAGTATACGACAGACCAAAGCCTCACTGGAAATGAGTCCCAGGACCCACACCAGCACCAGCAAACGAGACTGAGTCTGTGCCACAGTGGGAGGGAAAACGAGCGGAAGAGGGAAAGCAGAATCTAGTTTGCACAAAAAGAAAATCAATTAGGTTGAGACGTGTATGGATTAATACAGACAGGCATCGGAAAAACAATGAGTAACTAAAGAAATCCTGATTACGAAACTGAGTTAACTGCATCTTGGTCCTTAGAGGGGGCAGGCTAAGCAAATGTAGATTACTACGGCTGCAGTAAGTTTTTAGAATGAAAATCTCTATAAGCAAAGCAGCTCCACGCTCCATTCTGGCAAAACCTAAGATGGTTTTTTAACAATGCAAAAAGTCTAAAAAGTCAGCTGAGCAAGTCATGAACAGATCTGAGTAACTCTTCATAAAACATACCCCAGGCCCCTGTGCAGTATCAGAAGAAATGGACCAATTTTGGATAGAAATTCTTCTTGTTCCTCATTATCCTCTAACCACCTGAGCCCTTGAGAACAGAAACGTCTTTGAAAGAAATTCAGCTGATTTTACACTTATCTTTGTGTGCAGAACCTGCCGAAAGAAAAATCCATCAATGAGGTCCGCATTTGATTCATGCCCAACAGCCAGCATTAAGGGCCTCTTTGCCTTTTGCAGCAAGGAATTCTGTAGTTTGGTCTGGTGACTCAGGAAGAGTCTGGAGTTTCCTATTAGCTCCTTCAAGGAGCCACGGACCTGCCCTCTAGGCCAAGTTACTGAAGTCCCATGAAAGATTTCAAACAGAAGCACCGAGTCACGCCGCAGTGGAAGATGAAGGGATCCAAACAGTACACAGTGAGGAGAGTGCTTACAGTACACGTGGAATAACTGCATACGCCATCGTGTTTTGTTGAATTGGGACCATCTTCAGGCTGTTCAGTTTCTTTCTCAGGTAAGGTGATGTGCAGAGACTGCAAGGCCTTCGCTTCAACGCATGCATCGTATTTTTTTTGCATTTGCAGAAAATCAGAAAGCTGTTTTTGTGGACACAGGTGTTTTGCTGTGCTCAGCACTAAAGACGTTACCACATTTTCAACAGTAGGAAAATGGAAGAAGCAAGTTCTACAAAATAGTTTCTTTCTCAGTCTTGACTGGGCTTGGCTTTTGGCAAGTTCTCTTCATGAGGAGTTGATTTCAGGGCCATACTGCAAAAGCTGAGAAATAGCCCTGTTTACATATGGAATAAAAGAAGTGTAGTGCTTGGATTCCCAGTTGTGCCACCGGCTCTTCAGCTTCTCTTTCCTCCCTGTTCTCCTAAGAGCATCTCAGAGACACTACCAGATGGAAACATCACATCTTCAGTACAATTCTACTGTACAATTACAATTCCATGACAGCTTTAGGAATTCAAGAGGAGCTTTTCTAGTGCCAGAAGATTTTAACTATTTGCAGCTTTCAAACTTACCAAATCTATCAAGATTCAAAAACCTTGAATGAACGACCCCATGATGCATTACTTTTGAGCACTTTCATACTACTTGCTGCATCACCTTCACATGCACTTTGATACTAAATTTAAGTATCTAAGCTAAAGTACCTTCCTACAAATTCTGATACAAAAAACCTAATCTATAGAGGAAAGGACAGAGACTAATCATTTCAGAAGAATATAAATTGTGCTCCAGTTACACAGAACTTAAGGTTTACCAAGTTCTGTGAAATACCATGGGGGTGTTAAAAACCAAACCCAGATTTTCTTCCCTAACTACAGTTAAATGAATTGGAACATAACAAGGTGTTAACCCTGAATGACAAAATCTGAATAAATATAACCATTTATGCAAACTTCTGTTTGCCGAATTTGACATTATATAGCATATAATTTAATGGAAAAATCCTCAAGTGTTACAATCATGATACTTCCTTTGCTATTTGTGGGTAAAAACTAAACCCACAAAAAGAAACTCTCCAGAGGCACAATAGGAACATTTAAGCCCACTCATTCCATGATATCCCACTAAAACCAAAAATAAGTCAGATATAAATAAACTCCTAGAAATCCACCACATTCTCAAGCAAGATAGACACATAATAAAAAAAGTAAATTAAATTAGTCTTCTAAATTGAAAAAGAAGTATCAGAAAAAGGGAGATCAGAACTAAAGCCCCAGAGTCCAATTAATAGTTTTGAAGTGAACTCAAAGCACTTATGGCACTTAAGAAATCTGGCATCCAGTGTCTTTTTGAGGCTTTATATCAGGTTCCTTCAGAGGTTTTACTTCTTCATCTGGTTTTGGTTTAGCCTGCAAACAAGAAGAAAAAAAAAACCCTAAATACCACAAGTAGAAACCACTTTGTCTGCACAGTATTTAGGCACGGCCAACTTTACATATTCTAATCTAATAGTCCCCTCTCTTTTCAAGGCTGAAGGCTTTGAGCAAGCCCCAAGCAAGGGCGAAAAGCCAAATATTCCCTATTTCAGCATCCTTAAATGAATCCTTTTCTGAAAAGAATCTTTCTGTAGCATTCACTTCTGTAACATTTCAGCATCTTAGATACATTGAAGAATTTCCTCCCGTTCAGGACTTAGTTAAAAATGACTCCTAATTTCCAAATGCCGACAGCGGGGCAGAGAGGTGAACTGACTTGCCCCCTGGTACAGTGGAAACATGAGCTCGGGTGGATGCCTTGTGTCTGTACCCTGCACTGAGCTGGGGAACTTCACAGAAGAGACAAAAAGCAAGCCTGTGTTATACACAGAATGAAGTTAACGGGGAAGAACAGTACATAAGATTATCTTACAGTGTCATCCTTTGGCCTCTTGGTGAGATCAAACGCTGCAAGTGTTTCAGGAGTCCAGTGTGCGTTCAAGGCAGGAAATTCAAAAGGAACAGGCTCTACTAAGCCATAGTTTGCTTTCAGTTCCAGCTGGGGAGCCTCTGCTGGCACCTTCTGAAAATAGCTGTAAGAGAATACAGCAATAGATTTAAAACACAGTGCACTATCTCTGCAAGTCTCGTTTGCCATTCTAAAGAAAAACAACCTGGGTTTTTGCAGTGGCAATCATTGCTGCTCTCTTCCATTTCATCAAGGCACCATCCAACGTGCATTTTGTCAGCAAAATAGTAACACTGTCTGTTACAGAGCAAGATTACCAAGAAGAAGTTGCTTTCATTCTTGTGATTGTTCATCCCCTAATAGCTAGGTGGGTTTTTTCCAACTTGGGAACCACTATTCCCAGCGCTTCAGTCAGAAGAGCACCTTTTGTCCAAAAGGCCTTCAAAATCCAAATGAGGATTTAAAATAATGAAAACTGACAAATCCTGACATGCACTGTGCTGCGGCAGAGCTCTGCGGTGGGCACATCTCCCAGAACAGTCACTGGTTATCTGGTTTCCCTTTCAAAGTTTGTTTCTAGAGGGACACGGATCTGTTGCAATCTCCTGTACGCTGCTGTCATAAGAGATGGCAACGGTTATTAGAACCAAAGCAGAGAACTTCTCCTATTTGCAGTTCAGCTCGACGTACTTGACAATCCTTATTGTTTAGACAATGCCCCTATTATGCAGGTCTTTAAATATCACAAAAAGGGAAATAACAAACCTATTATGGAATACTAAATCATAAGAGAAGGGGAAGGGAGAAAGAAATGAGCAAAAGAATTCTAAAGCCAAACTAATCTTGCTATTTTAAACAGCTTCCAAACTCTTTTTGGAACGGGCATTAACTAACATAAAGCCCTATTCACAATATTAACGATACTTAGGGCTGGTAAAGCTCCTGGCACCCTAAACATATTCTTCACTGAAGGCATGATTGTATCTTGACTTCCCTGCTACCAAGACAGAATCTTCTCCACTTCGCCTCTGTCTTCTTCTGCCTACTAGATACCAGCAGCTGGGAAGAGGGTATCAGAGCAACGCAGCAACCTTTACAGGACTTTTTCTTGTGCAGAAGGAAAAGAAACACAGTGGCTGAGCAATGAAGGAAGAAAACCATTTCACCTCTCCGGGACAACTCAACTGGCACAGAATACAGAGAGGGCAATAGCACAGACCCATAGCAAATCTGCTCAGAGAAAATGACAGAATTGCAAACGTATCCTTAAGTTACATGCCATGTCCTAAAGGAATTTAAGAACTGGAGAGTAAAATTTTCCATCCCATCTTGAAAGCAAATGAGGTACTAACAGTTCATACAGAGTAACATACCAGCCACGAATTACTTACATGAATCCATTCTCTCTTTGGCATTTTTCTAGTGTGTTCTTAATCAAACTTCCTAATTTCCTAAAGAAGAGATGTCCAGAAGGTTTGGCAGTGGTCCCGGGCCCTTTGGTTTCTCCATATTCTTTGCACAATGCTTCAGCCTTGGCAAAAACTTTGCAAGAAAGAAATGTAATAAAAATCATTTACGTGACTCTATTAAATCACAGTTCTGATCTACGGTGCTTCGGTGTTAGGAGATACCACAATCCATTCCGGCTTCTTGCTTCTTAGAAACAAAAATAAACTAGCTCAACTGCAGCACTTCCAGCCAAGATTTTCTCCATCAAAAAAAGAGACTAGGAACATTAAAAAAAAAAAAAAAGACAGCTTTTTGGGTGGGAAGATGCAGGAAAGCATTCTTAAGTGTGGGGCAAAATGCAACAATAAGCCCAAGAACTGTGCCACATGGGAGGGAAAAAGAGAGGGCATAAGGTGTCCTAACAGCTGATGCCCAAAATTAAACACCACTCAATATGGATTGGCAAAAGCAGCATTCTTCTCTGAACAGCAGGGACAGTAAAAAACACAGTGTGTTTCACTGCAAGTAATCCAACTCAGTTTGTTCTTCATAAATTCTTTTTATTTATTTTTAAAATTGATATTAAAAGTTTCCAATTTGACGATTTGAGCTTTTTTTTGTATATATTGTGGTAAAGTTATGCAGTGCAGGCATTGGAGTAGCAAGAGCTTTGAAGAGAAAAGGATGGGCAGATGACCCTGAACTACTGCAAACTTCTCTTAATCTACTTTTCAATGAATAGAAAGGAAATAAGTTACTGAAATCTGTTTAAAAACAATCAAACAATCATGGTCTAGATCACTATTTAATGTAAGACAGAGCATCCTCCAAAGCAGAAAAGGCTGCAGTAACTTAATATACAGACCAGAAAACGTGGTGACCAGCCAATTGACTTCTACACTGTGTTGCAGGCAGGTCAAAACACCAACCTTTAACAGGCTGAGAAGTGAAGATGAAATTTTATGCAGCACCATTATGAAAGACAGTCTTTGGTAAGACAAAAAAAAAAAAATAATATACTGTATCTACTCAAAAGCGTGCTGGATTTTCACCAGGTGACAGATAAAATCTTAAGTCTTTGAGGGTGATAAACATGATATAGCAAAATAAACCAGGCATGTCATCATCAGACCCTGTCATCCAGTCTCAATCATACTTACATTTTTCTGACTCCTGCAGAGATCTGATTGCTTCCCCACATTTATCACTTGCCAACAGAGTCTGACCGTGGTAACAGTATGCCTAATGGGAGAGGAGAAAATAGTTACCAACAACACTGGGCACTTCCTGCACCGATTCACTTCTGCTCTTCCTTACATGGGAGCTGCATCTCTCCCAGGCTGTCGTTCCGTGCAGACAGCTGAGGATTTGGGAATGCTACTCAAAGCAGCATTCGCTGAACACTGCAGTTCGATATAAACACCCTCAGGCACGTATGAGGAGAGCTGTCTCAGGTGTAGCCAAGATTAGCTTGGAGCTTCATGGAGGCTGTTTTACCAAAAGCACTGGTATATAGTCTAGTTCAAACCCCTCTCTCTTACTGAAAAAAGGAAGAGGATGTACTCCAGTGAAGTTTACAAAACAAAGACTCTAAAAACTAAAACTACCTTAATGCTCAAAAGCCAAATCTGCAACAAACACCATTGAATCCAGAAGAGATGAGGTGTTCTGCTGCTTGAGGTGTCTTGCCATAGTCCAAATAACTTTTCCACCCCACAAAGTCCCATTCCCTCACAGGAATTCCTTATGCTTGAAGATAGTACTGTATTCCAGTGAGAACTGAATTGCCTCTTTCCTGTTATCAGGAGTTGTTGACTTTAAATGCTACACGGAATGAAACAATCCCACAAACTAATGTCTCCCTTGCATACCTTCCTTTAACGTCTGTTCTCACAGTATAGCCAGTGTTATCTACATCTACCATTGCCCCTATTGCACAATTTTAAAAAAGAAAAGGTACCCCACCTCTGACCCTCTCTAACCTCTCAAACTTGCTCATAAGGCAAGCGGCTTTTAGCTACAGGTTTAATGTAAGAGAAAGACAATTGTGTTAACTGCTTAGCTTGGGCCTTTTTTTACAGCATGAAAGAGGCAGATGACAGGCTGTGGCAGGTACCAGAAATAAAGAGCAAATTGAGCAGCTGCTGATCCCAAGAGCATCACTGCACTTGGTACGAGGCAAGTCATGCAAGAAGGAGCAGCACATGGAACGGTACCTAACATCGCTTGATGCAGTTTAATTCAGGGCCTTCAAAAACATTATCAGCTCTGAATTATGCCTAAAATCAGACTGTGATGCAGAGAATGGAAGACAAGTATCTTGCTCAACCTGAATTGCTTCACTTAGCAATACGTGATTACAATAAATTCCACGCTGCAGTAACTTCACTGGGCTCAACAAAACCACTTCAAATGCCACGGACACTGCACAGCCTCTTCAGAGCACGGAAAGCACGTCAAGGCAACACTTAGTCCCTGTTCCCTACCCAGACCTCAGACAGCACTAAAAACTGTGACTGCTGCCAACCAAAGTACTTACGTAGGCCATATAGAAACAGGTCTTCAAGTTTAAGTACTTCCTCCATTTACCTGCATAGGTTGGATCCAAACTGGATAATGTTTGATCTACGGACACAGATGTAATGTTACTCTTTAAGACATTTCATAAAAACAAAAATCCCACACACTCACAAAGAGCAGAGTTCTTAAATTTAGCAATAGATCTTAATGATAAAGTAGCCAGAAACAAGTGACATAAGTTACTGCTGCAAAGACACAGAGAAACTGAGAAAAACCAAAAATATGCCGTTTATTGAGCTATGATGCAATTGTCCCTAGAATCCCTGAAGCTGCTGCCCACTAAGTTTAGAAGGCTAATTCTCCTAAGTATTTTTAGGCAGCATTTCAAAGCCTGTTCCTAGTTTAATTTTAAGTAGTGACCTATAAAAGCCTACCTATGTTACAATATTTCATCTCTTACCTGAGGGGTGGAGCCCCTCTGCTGTGAGAACAGGCTGAGAGAGTTGGGGTTGTTTAGCCTGGAGAAGAGAAGGCTCTGGGGAGACCTTAGAGCCCCTTCCAGTACCTAAAGGGGCTCCAGGAGAAATGGGGAAGGACTCTCAATCAGGGAGCGGAGTGAAAGGACGAGAGGGAACAGTTTTAAACTGAAAGAGGGGAGATTTTGATTAGGTATTGGGAAGAAATCCTTCCTTGTGAGGGTGGTGAGACACTGGAACAGGTTGCCCAGAGAAGCTGTGGCTGCTCCATCCCTGGAGGGGTTCAAGGCCAGGCTGGATGGGGCTTTGAGCAACGTGGTCTGGTGGGAGGTGTCCCTGCCCATGGCAGGGGGGTTGGAACTGGATGATCTTTAAGGTCCCTTCCAACCCAAGCCATTCTGTGATTCTATGATACTGATTCCCATATTTTGCACTTTTCCCACTTTGCTCAGTAAGCTACAGATCAGCTTATTCATCTGGAAGGATGTACAGAATTAACCTGCTACACACTTTAGGAGTTGCATCGTAACCTGCTGCCCAACAGCAGGTGAAACACACTCCATTTACATCAAGCCATTTGTTTGCTACTATTGCATATTCTCAAGACATTGCTCTGCCTTCCTGTCCACTCATATTTCCTACCATTACCTACAGAAAAAGATTCCCACTAAAACAAAAAGCCTTAGCAAAATCTATCTGTTATGCTGATAACCGAAGCCTTAAAAGTGCTAAATAGAAGCTAAATATACAAAGTATATCCACTGAGCAACAGCGTTAATATCGCAATTGATGGGTGGGTGAAATATGTCTGCTGGCAAGAATGCATAAACCAGGTCACTAAGGATACAAAACATGACACTTACCAGCTTTTTGGTAGAAGTTAGCTGTTTCATAAGCAAGAGCAGCTATTAGGCCTGGATTGTGTTTCAGCTCAATAGCCCGAGCAATTGTCACTGAAAAAAAATTCCACACCACAGTATTAAAGTTTAATTGAAAATGTCACAGGAAACCGGCAGAGGCATTTAGCATTTTAAAAGTCCTACATGAGCAGAAAACAAGTATTGTGCAGTCAAGCAAACTGCAGAATAAAGACAGATTGTTTCTTGGACAGAATTATTGCAAATTAATAGAAAAACTGAAGGAAGATTAGTTGGAAGACTAGCTAGTAAACAGAAGCTGCAAATATTTTAAAGTAAAGGAATTGGGAATTTATTTTAGGCAAGCGTGGTGGTGAAAAGACTGCATGAAAGGAAAAAAGAAGAGGGGGGAAAATGTCACACACAAGTTCTTCTAAAGTGGTTACATTTATTATATCAGACTGATTTTTGGCATTTTCCTCCTGTAATTGTAGCTTAAGTTACTTTAACAGCAACCCACTCCCCTAAGCCGTAGTACTTCAGAAGAAAACAAATGGCATTGGTGCCAAGCAGACTTCGCAAGACATGGTAAGTAGCCCACAGAGACTGTCGTTTCCCACCCCAAACAGATATAGATTTGAAGGTACCTTCTTGAGCTTCAGCTTGGCACTGTATGATGTATGAGTCTATAAGTCGAGCTTCTAAATCTCTTCCTTTTTCTACAGGTGTAATCAATTTTGGAATGTGACTTTCCTAAGTAAAAAGCAAGTCTCAAAGTTAGTTTAGGCTCAATACCACTGCTGCCAACGCAAAGCAAGTCCCTTATTCCTAAACGCATGGGACGCTGGGTGAAGGTCCCACTAAGGCTGGCTGCACTGCTGCATCTGCTACTGGGGAGACAAACTAATTACTCTTCCACTGCCACTAGGGAAGAGTAGCAGGGATTGAGTCGTAGCACAGCATATTAACACAATATTTTTCTGTATCATTCACATAGTCTGAGGGATTTGTTTACTCTGTAACCTCAACAGAAAAGTGAAGGCTTTTCTAAAACAAGAAGTCAAGTGGTTGGAGACAATTTAAAGAACAGACAGCAAAAGCTGTTTTTTCTACCTTCAAGTGTTTAAAAATCCCAGCTGCTATCTTCAAGCTTCTGTGAACATCTTTTGCTTCATCTTCTGTTATGCTAAGGATGTAGAATCAATTACATTTTAGTTAGAAAGGATTTCTAGGCGTCATTTAGTTTCAACTCCTGCCTTGGAGCAGGACCACCAACAACAGTAGATCGGGTCAGTTATGGCTTTGTTTAGATAAATCTTTATTCCTTCAAGAACAGAGAGTCCACTAAGTCCCCAAGTAACCTGTCCCATTGCTGTGCTACCCTTGTGGCAAACAAGTTTCTTACAGTGTCCAATCATTTAATAATTAAGTAGAACTCACTTGAAAAAAAGAAATGTAAGACGTTGTAATGACTTTCAGGCAAAAGGTAACCTCAGTGATAAAAGCCAAAGCTTCAGAAATCTGTAAGGCTAAAAGTCAGCAGAGCTGTGATTTTGAGAATCTCAGGTTTGTACCCGGCCATTCAGAGCAGGACTGATGAAGGGTTTACTCACAACTGACACTTTCTCTATACCACAGTCACATGGAACTAGTACACTTTGTTCACGGAGGCAAGAAGGGATTGAAGTGCACTTGGACATTACCCCACATGAACGAAGGCCAACTGCCTCCCTGAACTCCCACTGGCTCAGCTGGACAGGCACTACAGCAGGCAACACTCAGAACCTGCCACGCTTTTTTGGTGGAATATTGCTGCAATGGAATTACTAAGAAAAGAAAAACACTTACTCCTCTTTTCCAGCAAGTCTTGATGCATATTTTGTGTACCACAGAGCTACATTAAATCCCATGGAAACCAGTTCAAACACTGCATCCTGCTGGGCACTAAAGAAAGACAGACAAAACCCCCCCAAAACAATTTAATGCTTTCCATTTTGTTCTGACAGGCACTCTCTCTGCTGATAGTTCACACAGCATTAGTCGACATTTATCTCCATAAAATATTTTTCATTTTAAAAGTCAACAATTTCCAATTCAGAACCTCCTACTTGCTGAACTGCCTAAATGACACTTCAATTTTTACTTATTTCCTTTAAGAGCTCATAATTATAATTCCCACATTCAGATGCCTACCCTTCCCACTTGGGAACTTTTATTTTAAAACAGTAACTTGAGATTTGTTTAGCTTTGGGTGTGGCTGACATTTTTCCTTTTTTTTTTTTTTTAAAAAAAAAAAAAAATTGCACATTTTGTGGAAAGCCTCGCTCTGGAATGTCTACTTTAAAGTTGTAGCTGCTAAGTTAATAAGTCAGAGTCTATTACATCTCCCTCAAATGAATGTTATTGCAAGTATTTACGTAACTGCACTTAAACGGCATGTGCAAATAACAGGAAATTTCAGAAGCTAAAAACACAGTCTTTGAAAAGAGCAAACTTGCAATCACAAGTTCAGTATAGCTTAGGAACAAGTGAACTTGAAAAAGAAAGGTGTGGGAGTGGGAAGGATAATGCTGGCACAAGTACAAGTGTGTATGACCATGAGAAAATTAGAAGAGAGGCCTAATAAACAGATTGTCTTCCAAAGGGAATAAAAGCTTTGAGGAAGCCGAGCACCACTTCTAGATAAAGCCTGACAAATCTGTAAGTGTGGTTATACAACACAATTACCCTCAACAGCGAGAGACAACTGAGTAATCCAGAAGGTTACAGATCTATATTCCTTCTTAAAACAGCAGCTTTGTTTGTTTGTACCAGGAGTAGATGTACCAGGAGCTTCAGAGGACAGGAACAAAATTAGATCTTCAGCAACATTTGCACTTCAAAAAACTCAGAAGATACTGGTCAGGCAATAGCGCCAAATGAAAACGTCTTGACCTGTACTAACCTATGTTATCATATTTAATTCACCAATACCCTCAAGGTTCTTATTTGTACTGCTCTACCCAACTGTAGATACAGTCTGTAGATCACCTAAGACACAATGGATCCTTCTACCATTATCATGCATTGTCACGCCTTTACACAAAGGCAACGCGTGCCTCAGAACACCTAATACAGTACAGCAATTACCAAAACCACAGAGCAACAAGGTTGTGGAAACTACTTTGTGTTCAAAATTTTGCTACACTTCTAAGTTTTCCTCCACACCTGTGTTGGCACACGTGCACATACGTAACAGGCCAGAAGAAAACAGCTGCATACCCTGTAATCATAAAAGCGTATGTACCTTGGAACTTGTCCTTGTAATGTGTCTGTCCACTTAAAATTCTGAATATATCTCAACTTGCATTCTTGGGAAGAGTCATCCAGTGAAAGGATAAAACCTATAGAATAAAAAAACATACCGATAGGCAATCTCAAAGGAACAACCAGAAACAAGTAATGAAGGAATGGGAATCAAGGAGAATACGGATACAGATAAAGGAATGTTTCTTGTTGTACCACTCAAAAAACTGTGTTACTTCCTGAGGCTTTTATTCCTCAGTATCTTGAGAACAAAAAACCAAACTGGCTGCTCCAAGAAACTCCTTGCCCAGCAGGTTACTGACTCAGCCCTGTGAGTCTTGACTGCTGAAGGAAAACCCTGCAAAGGTCTGCGTGTCCCGTAAGGTGATTAATGGAGCTGGACTGACCCAGGCACAGGATGGCTGAGGCTGCTCGAGGTGAGCGAGCGACTGTCCCTGCCACCATAATGGCAACTGGAAAATTTCAGGAAAAGCTGCCTAGACAACAGGAAGAGGGAAAAGGGCTTGTAAGCACAGGCTCACCTAGCCCTCATCTCTTTTGCCTCCAGGGCTACAGGAAATTGGTTCTTTATGTCCCGCAGCCCAGAAAGCAGCAGTTGGTGCAATGAAGCTCATGCTATGGGATGTTCAAATGCTGGCATATGCAGCCCCATGGAATTTTTCTGGGAGGAATAATATGGGCCATCATCTGACCAGGTCTTACAGACTTCAAGATCTCAAGATTTCCAACAGCAGCTATTGCAGCTACAGCTCTAGGTGCTGTCACATGTTTATATACAAAAAGAATGCTTGCTCCTTTCACTTGCAGAAGATTTTAGAGACCGAGCATGATGTTTTCCTGAAGAAACTCTTCAAATCGTGCCTGCAGCAAAAGCGACTGTTATCTCACTTTTACCTAGCATTAGTATTCCAGGCACTGAGGGAACTAAACCAACTTGAGCTGCTTCACTTTGACAGACTGAAAGATCACAATTTCCATGAATCAGCTGATTCCTGAAAACTCAGCGCTAAGAAACTTGTCTGAGCACCTGACTGCTAAGAGAGAATTATCAAAATATTGGCAGGAAGAAGGTTTCAAGTGAAGGCCTCATCACAGATGACTACCTAGTCAAAATGTAGATGCTATGCTAATGAGCATCTATATATACACTTAAGACAAGCAACAGAAGTATAAACTTGCCACAAGTCTTTTATCTAGACAAACCAGAAGTTTACACCAAAGAACAATTTCTATCAACTAATTAATAGACTGGCAGGAGGAAGGTTTCAAGTGAAGGCCTCATCATAGATAACTACCTAGTGAAAATGTAGATACTATGCTAATGAGCACCTATATATACACTTAAGACAAGCAGCAGAAAGTGTAAACTTGCCACAAGTCTTTTATCTAGCATTAGACAAATCAGAAGTTTACACTAAAGAACAATTTCTATCAACTAATTAATAGATTCAATTTATACTTAAGGAGCAATTCACCACAATCGAAGCAACAAATCAACATTTTCTCCTCAAGCAGGAAGCAGAATGAGGTAAAAAGCAAGAGGCCAGGACTGCCAACACCTAGTACTGGCAGGGTCACAAAGAACACTGGAACTTATAGAAAGGGCCTGGTGAGTACCCATGACTGGTATTAAGCACAGAACCCACGAAGATACTCTCCTTCCTGAGAAGCACAAAGCTTCTTTACAGAAGATTGGCATGATACACATTCTGAGAAGCCTCATTAAAACTCAAATTACATCTCTTGATGTATTAGCAGTATTGCTCATAAATGTTCCTACCTTGCAAGAGTGAGAAGTACAAGTCAGTTGCATTCTTCATCATTTCTGGATTACAGCTTGAGTCTGTAAACAGCTCCAACAGCCGTGTTCGAGATAACCTCAAATCACTGCGGGGGGAGGGGGAAGAAATAATAAACCTAAGAAATTCTACCCAAAAATGTACTAGATTCAATTTATACTTAAGGAGCAATTCACCACAATCGAAGCAACAAATCAACATTTTCTCCTCAAGCAGGAAGCAGAATGAGGTAAAAAGCAAGAGGCCAGGACTGCCAACACCTAGTACTGGCAGGGTCACAAAGAACACTGGAACTTATAGAAAGGGCCTGGCGAGTACCCATGACTGGTATTAAGCACAGAACCCACGAAGATACTCTCCTTCCTGAGAAGCACAAAGCTTCTTTACAGAAGATTGGCATGATACACATTCTGAGAAGCCTCATTAAAACTCAAATTACATCTCTTGATGTATTAGCAGTATTGCTCATAAATGTTCCTACCTTGCAAGAGCGAGAAGTACAAGTCAGTTGCATTCTTCATCATTTCTGGATTACAGCTTGAGTCTGTAAACAGCTCCAACAGCCGTGTTCGAGATAACCTCAAATCACTGCGGGGGGAGGGGGAAGAAATAATAAACCTAAGAAATTCTACCCAAAAATGTACTATTAAGAAAGTACCCACCCATGTATGCCACCGCCCTTTTGACTAAGCAAGTGAAGCTAAGCATTCAATTTACCTATCCAAAGCTAAGGAAAGGTACTTCATGAGAAACATTCCAACAGATACAGAAAAATCTTCCTTTCCCCTCTGGATACACAGGATTGACTCTTTAGTTTAAAGTATAACCCGTTTCGGACAGACAGCAATGGATCATTAGTATTCATGATCAATCTATTGTTCTAACACTAACATAACTGATTCCAACACAGAATAATCTTCCTTTCTCCTCTGGATACATATGATTGACTCTTTAGTTTAAAGTATAACCCATTTCGGACAGACAGCAACGGATCATTAGTATTCATTATCAATCTATTGTTCTAACACTAACATAACTATGCCTTTATCTCCCAAGAGGCTGGGTGCAGAGGCAGGGATGGGAAGTACTAACCAGAACAGTCTTCAACATTAGAATGGGACAAGCATATGAAGAGATAAGAATAGATCTGCAAAATAAGCTCAGATCTCTTTTCGTTATATTCTTATCTACCATAGAACGTTCATGCCTTATTCACTCATGGAAATTACTTTAAATAATCTTTTGCAGAAGGTGGCACAGTCATCAGAAAGACAATGAAATGTTTAGTCTTTTGCCTTTGCATTATAATAGGCCTTGCTATACACTCAGAGACTTGAAAACTGGATAATTCACTCTTTGTAACTAAATGTTCAGTGTCATCAGTGTCTTATTGTCTCCCAGCCTACACATTTCTAGTCATCTTCAGAACAAAAATTGCAGAGTAACCCGTACTTTTAAGGATGTCCTCCAAACTGTGAGAGACAGAGTGAAGTCGATCACAAGTATACACTTACTTGCAAACCTTTGCTGCAGCTGGAGTGGTAGCTACCCCATAATAATTAAATGAAACGGGAGCTGTGGCCTTCAAAGGGTTGCGATGAAACCAGTGGGTCATTTTCTTTCTGTAGTGTTGTTTATGCCAAATCTAAAGCATGGAAAGAAACGAACAGCTGAGGGAACAGGTACAACTGAGATGCCCTGTATACCATGCTTCTCAGCTCACAAAAATATATTCCAAATGTAAACAATTAGGAAAGAAATTAATCTGCAAAGCTCTCTATAATTACACAGAAGAAATTAGACTTCTTTTCTTCCATTTGAAACACTAAGCTACCGCATGCCTTATCTTCATCACCCATGTGCTTGGTTTGAGAATTTCACCCTCCAGAAATACATATGCAACTATTTTAAGTGGGATAATGGCCAATCTATAAGCAGCTTTTATTGTAGCACCATCAATATAGATGAAACTGCAATTACATAGTAACCCTTGTTGAAAACACGGACATATTTAGACACATGTAACAGACCTGGAAGTTTGGTAGAGTACAGGTAAAACAAACCACCATTTTCCTTTTACCTCAATTTCAGCAAACACATATAACATAAGCATCCCAATGAGCTTCCAACAGCAGCGCGTGGAGGAGGATGCAAAATAACGGCCACCCACTGAAACAAAGGGAGGTCTGTATGGGTCAAAATGAGAAACCTCTTCACCGTGAGGATGGTGAAACTGAGGAACAAGTTGCTCAAAGAGCTCGTGCTCCTCCTCCTCGTGCGGTCTCCATCCTCAAAGGCTTTTAAGATCTCACTGGATAAAGCCCAGAGCCACATGGTTTAATCTCAGAGTTGACCCTGCTCCGAGCAGGACATCAGACCAGAGACGCCCCCAAGACGTCCATCACCGTACGATCTTTTTTGAATCTGTAAGGTCATCATTATAAAATGCTTTGCAGCTTTGCAAATTACCAGGTCCTGCACTCACTTGGGTCACAACGACCCCATGAATGCTCCAGGCTGGGAGAAGAGTGGCTGAAAAGCTGCCTGGCAGAAGAGGAACCACGGGTGTTGGTCAGGCCAACAGCATCCTAGCCTGTGTGGTGAACAGGAAGTGACTGTCCCAAGTCACAGGAGACAGGACAAGAGGAAACAGCCTCAAGTTGCACCAGGGGAGGTTTAGATTGGATTATGAGGAAAAATTTCTTCACAGAAAGGGTTATCAAGCATTGGAACAGGCTGCCCAGGGAAGTGGTGGAGTCACCATCTCTGGAGGGATTTAAAAGATGGGTAGATGTGGTGCTGAGGGACACGGGTTAGTGTTAACTTGGCAGTGCCAGGTCAACAGTTGGACTTGGTGATCTTAAAGGCCCCTTTCCAGCCACAGTGATCCTATGATTCTATTTGCTGAAAAAAAAAAAGGTAAAAAGAGGGGACAGGTGCCAAGCAGAGACCCCTGCCACCCTCCAGCTCTCCCTGACCCTGCGGGCGACTCGTTTATCGTGTCAGCCCCTACCGCGACACCGCCACCCACCTGCGCAGCGGAGAGGAGCTGTCACAGGCCTCAGCCGCGCCCGAGCCAGGTGACAGGCGCTTAACGAGAGATCTTCCGTGTCCGGGCCCCCTTTACCGCCGCACCAGACCCAGTTCGGCGGGACCCTGCCCGCCGCCGGCCGCCTCAGGCCCGCGCCGCTGCCTCACCTAAAGCCCCCCGCGCCACCAGCGGCACACACCGACCGACGCCCGCCCCGGCGTGCGACGCCTTTCCCAGCGGTAGCTGCCGTGCTGTGCCGTGCCGCCCGGCTCCCCCAGCCCCACCGACAGCACCGAGCGCGGCCCAGGCGGCCCTCACAGACAGAGAGACCCTCCCGGTAACCGCCGCCACTTCCGGCTCTGCCGCCGCAGACAGCGCCAGCGGAGAGACGATGGCATCGACCCGCGCGGTACGGCTGGCCGAACGCATCGATCCCGTCGGTTATCCCCCCTCAGGCCGCCGCCAGCCCCGCGGGTTGGGACCGGGACAGCCGGCGGAGGCACGGCCGGGCGCCCCACAGCCCTCCGCAAACAGAGGCGGGAAGGGATACCGGCGGCGGCACCGACCCTCCGAGGCGGGTGACACTGCCCTGGGGTGGCGCTGCTTACCCGAGAGTGGCCTCCCGGAGGGGCAGGGCCGGGAGCGGAGCGGGAGGGGAGGTGCCGCCGCCGCCGCGACCCAGCTGGGAGGGCGGGCGCGCGCTCCCTCAGGAGCCACGTGACGGCCGCCATGACACCTACCGAGGCGGAAGAGGCGGCTTTCCCCTCATCGCCACCTCGGTAGCCATGGCGCCGGCGGGCGGGCGGGCGGGCGGGCGCGGCCGGTGCAGCCTACCTCGCTGGGCGGCGCTGGCGGGAGGCGCTGGGTGCCCTAGTGCTGAGGGGGCTATGTCGGAGGCGGCCCGGAGCCTCCTGCAGCGCTGGGGCGCCAGCTTCAGGAAAGGCACCGACTTCGACTCCTGGGGGCAACTGGTGGAGGCGATCGACGAGTACCAGATGTGAGTGGCCGGGGGGCGGGCGGGCGGCTCCTCGACATGACCCACCGAGCCCCGGTACGGCCACAGGGCCCCGGGCGAAAGGCTGGGGGGATGAGGGGGGCAGCGGCCCCAGGGCGGGGCAGGGCGTTGGGGGGGGCCCCCGCCGGGCCTAGGCCGCGGCCCCCCTCACCCCTCAGGCCCCGCCGTTGCATAAAGCGCGGGGCCGTGGGTCGGGGCGTCCCCTCAGGCGAGGAGGGGGGTGTTTGGGTGGGGAGGGTCGCCGCCCGAACCCGCTGGGAGCCGCCCGCCCCGCGGAGACCGCCGGTGGGTGGCGGGTGTTCGGCCGGGGGGCGAGGCGGCAGCCGGCCCCTCCTTTCTGCGAGGGTGGCGGCTGTGAGGGCCTCCCCCCCCACCCCCGGGGCGTGGGCCGTTGAGGCCGTTGGCTGGTGGAGCCCCACGGCGGCAGGCACCCGGGGTACCCCCATCCCATTGCCCCCCCCTCTGGGGAAGGGGGGGACTCGGCTGAGGCAATGGGGTTGCCTTAGCCCCACTCTCCCCCCAAAAAAACCTAAACCCAACACCCCATTGGGGTGAGACCCGGTCCATCGCACGCTTGTGCGTCTCCCCCCTGAAGAGATTTGGGGAACCCGGCGGTGGGAGGGCACAGCCCCAGTCAGATTGGCTTGCGCTGGGGTGGGAGCGCACCATCCACCCATCCCTTGGTGTCAGGCAAGTATTGACACTCTTGGTGGTATCCTTAGAAACACGCCTGGTAGCTTGAGTCAAACGCTCTCCTCTAGCGCTCTGGCCAACGTGAAGATGAAAGCTGTTTCCCTGTGATCCGAGTGTTGCAGGCGAAGTTTCTTAACGGTACGTTTTCTGGAAGAAGTCCAGAGGGTTTGTGCTTGTTCCCCTAGAGAAAGTCAGCTGAAGAGATGCTCTCCGGGAGATCTTCTAGCGGTGCTCAGGACTATTTGAGTTATGGGCTGTAACCACACTGGCTACCAGTTCAGTTGCCAGAGTTACTAGACTGCTGGCCGCACACGGCATTGTCATGGGATGCTATAATCACATCATTTCATTCACTCACCAAACAGGGTGATGCCAGTTCAGTTATTTGGAGTTTGCTGATGGTCTTTAGAACAGAGCAAGCTGTTACTACAAGCCTTGGCATAGGGATGAGAAGAAGTTCTTTTCCAGATCTGTATCTCAGAAGAAAAAAACAATCATTAGAAAGTAAAAGAAGGTATTTTTAATAACTGCCCTTATGTGGACATTTACGAGGAGTCCAGTAGGATCCTAATGCTTTAAACTGCCTTGGCAGTCTCAGCAGTCAGTTTCATGTCATTCACTTCTTCAGAATGAAAAGTCTTGAGGCGTCTCATTCTGAGCTCACTTCATTGAGAAGTAAGGTCACTAAACGTTTGCAGACGGTCCAGTTTGAGAGTCGAAGTATAGCTTTTGTTCCCTTCCCCCCAACATAGCTCGTGTCTGAGGAGAACTGAGGTGATCTTCGTGCTCTTGCTTTATTCTGACTTGGATGCAGTGTGATAGTTTTCTTTGTAAGAAAGCTCCTCTCGGGTAGGATTGTAGGCTGCTCTTGCTGGCCTTATCAGTGAGTTTCTACGGAATAGTCGCCATCAGTAGATTAACTCTGTGGTTCCAGGAGGGAGAATAAAGGGGAGAGAAGATCATAGGATTACAGGGAGGCATTTCCTAGGGAGGAGCAGACCCTTTTCAGTGTGCGTATCTGCTTCTTGTAGATAGAACAGGTAAATTAAAAAGAAATTCAATGTATAGAGTAGATTATTTTTTGGATTTTTTTAAAATCATTGCTTCTAAATGCCCTTTCTGTATATTCTGTGTGTCATGTTGGTGGGGCAGTAGGGAAGGAGCGTACATTTGGGTTCAAGCATGTTTGTGCTGTTTGTCTTTTCTCAGCCACCATCTTTCCCCCATTTACCAAGGGGGACAACACCACCATGTTGTGCAGTTACCTTGTCCTGTTTGGTTGTGTGGTTAGAAGCTACGGAGGCCTCAATCCTTGTGCCTTCTTAAGAGAGCTTGTTTTTAGGAAAACCAAAGAAATAATTGAGTCCTGATTTTTGTTTCTGACACAAGCTTTGATAGTAATCTGTTTTGGTGTACGCATCTTGATGTATATCTTTTGACCCCCCTCCAGAGAAAACAGGGTAGTGGCCACTGCAGTGGTGGTGAGGAGCTGAATCCCTTTAACAATGCAAACTTGTGAGGTTCCAGACAGAAGTGTATTGTGATGCCCTGAGTACTGCTGCTGTCCTTGGGTTTCCCCTCAACCCTCCATTCCCCCTCCCCCTATGCTTTTTTTTTTTTTTAAATTATTTACAGGGAATGGCAACAATTGCCCAGAGGTTTTGCTTGTTTAATGTTCTCCTTCCTCCCTGGACGGAAACTGTAACTCTTCCCATAGCTTCCCTCTCCAGCTTCCTTTCGCTTTCTGGAGCTGTTTGCTTACTGCTGCTTTCTCAGCCCCTTGGTGCTCCTGTCTCCCTGGTGATGTGGGACGGGGTTTCTGCTCCGTGTGTGATGCTGATAGACCCCAGCCTACCTGGCCAGGCCACCCTGTGCCCAGCTTCCAGCCCCAGGAGAGGCAGTGGTCATCAGCTGGAGTGCCTGTTCCTACGCCTCTAGGCAACCCAACTTATCTCAAACTCTCCCTGTGGAACACACATGGGTTTGGGCCACAGCGGGTCTTCACAGGGAGTATGGTTTGTTGTTATAAAATAAGGGGATGGGGAGAGGAAAAAAGGTCAGTGCTTAGAAAAGGGGCTGTTAGCTAGAAGGACCTTTTTACCTGTTTTCCCTTCCTGATATATGTAGTCTTTCCTGCCTAATGGAGTTACACACTTTGTCCGCCGTCTGGGTTTTTTTAAGTATGGCCCACCATGGTTATAGAAATCTTTGTTAAAACAAAACCAAAACTCTTTGGAGCAGCAGCCTCTCAGACCTTTTGGCTGGCGTGTTTTCTGGAGACTGAGAGGTGTGGGTGTGTTTGTGTTGTGTTCCCACTCTACAATTTTCTTTCCCCCCATCCAGATTAGCAAGGCATCTACAAAAAGAGGCACAGTCTCAGCATAACAACTCGGAATTCACAGAAGATCAAAAGGTGAGTACTGCTGTTTGCTCTGTCGAGGAGCTCAATTCGTAGATGTTGATGTGTATTACGTTTGGTTTTTTTTTTTTCTTTTGGAGACCAGAGCTTTATGAGACCCTTTTTTCTCCCTCAATATATGCACAGAAACAGAGCCCGGCATGGCTAAAACAGTCGCTGTCGTTAGATGTGACAGATGCTCTGCTGTGTAATACTGAATTTCATGCATGCTGGCCAGAGTCCGTCATAACTCGGGTGTTTATTTTTTGGGTGACCTTTTGATAACTTGCTTATACAACATTAGCACAACTTACATTGTGAACTCTGAATACAAAATGCCTTAAACTGCAGACATGGAGGCATTTTGGAGGAGGACGTTAGTTTAATATGGAACACCTGACTGGGAAGAATACTCCCTAGTAGTCTCTTATGATGTTATTTGTTTATAATCTTTCAAAATACTGAAATTACTTTACTCCTTCCTCCCTCCCCTCAGTTGAAAACGCTGTTTCTTGTCTCAGCATTATATTAATGACATTCTGTGACAGGATTTAAAAGGAAAATTCTAGCTGAGGTCTTGTACGCTCAATCATTTTCAGCAAAACATTTTTTTCTTTTTGAGATATGAGGCCCTGCTAAATTTTTGTGTCTTGTATAAAGGCATGTTTTCTTTAGGAATACCAGATTGGAGAACCTCTGTATTTCCGGGTTTCCAAGTTATAAGATTGCTTGTTTGAGCAATGGCGTTGCCCGAAAATTAACCTTTACTAGCTCAGAATCTCACCTGTGGTAACAGGGCGCTAGAGTAATGGGGTCTGTGTTTGGAAATGTTGGTCCTAAAGACAGGTCATGGCTACAGAAATTGAACTTGATGTATTCAGAGAAACTCGTTACAAAGAAATAGACCTTTACATAGAATCTGACAGAGGTTTGCAATTGTTTCGTTGACGTGTGCCAGTAAGAAAAGCAAAGAGCAGCTCTTCCACATTCTCTTTACATTCTGCAAAGAAGATAAGGCTCATAATCATCTTAAATTGAGTCATAATCTTGGAGAAGGATTCGGTCCACCTCTCCTGAACTGAAGGCTTGGGAGCTTTGTTAATGTTAGACAGCCGGTCACTCTCTGATAGCTTCTGCTCTCTGTCCCTGGCTGGGAGCTTTCTCCATCATTCTTAGCTATAGTCATCTTTACTACTTGTTTCCCATCTGTGGATACTTTTGAAAATATGGTCACTTCATGAAGGCAAAGCTGTTAATCTCACTTCTGGAGGCATCATCTCCTGTGAGTATGGGAACCAGAACCACACAGGGCTTTGCTTCCAGATGTTCCCTGAAGGTTGTGGAAAGGACCTTGGACCAGCTTGTGGAAGTGAGTGAGGTCAGCCATGAGGATGGGCCTGGGGGGCTCAGGAAGCAGAGATAACTGACCTCAGATGTTAGATGTGCAACTGTGATTGTGTCTTAAGGCCACAGTCTTCTGGAAAGAAAAACTGAGGAGTGGCTGTTTTGAATCCTTGCCAAGTGGTACCTGTTTCTACAGCTGATGTAATTTACAAGAGAGTTTGACATTGTTATCACTTTCTTTTTTTGGTAGATCAATAAGGGGATGATGCCCTGAAACTTTGAGCCTGGTTCTCAAATGGTGGTGCCTGTTTCATTAGCGACATACACAGCTGAATTCCCCAACATTTTGTTGAGAGAACATTCTTTTTCCCTCCTCTACCATGAGGAATGCTGGTCACAACAGTAATAAGTGTCTTGCTCCGTCCAGCCTTTGTGTAGATTTACAGGTAGCTGTTTTCCAAAGGTACTGCTGAGAATTACTGTGGGGTTGTCACAGTTTCGTACTTGGTGGGGAAGATGGATTTCAGCAGTGATTCCTCTGTACCAAGGGAAAACTACTGGCTTTAGAGCTACAGGGAAAGGACAAGGCTAGGTTCAGATCCTCAGCCCCAGCTCTCTGTATAAACTTTTACCATGTTTGGGTTTATTTCATGCATCCCAGGTGGTGTTACAGTGCAGATATGGCCACACCATAATTGATGGTATGTTACTTGCAAATATAATCATACAATCTAACAATGCTTGACAGATACCACCAGTTTCTTTTCTAGGCATACTGTAAGCCAGTTATCATTTATCTTATAATTAATGTATTGTTTATGGTAAGAATTCAGACTTCTAAATATTCATATCTTGCTTTTTTGCTCTTGATCTGAAGAGTCTGTTTTGAAATGCTGTGAGCTACTTGACAGAACGGACTGGTCTCCAGAACTTGCTCTTAGTTCCTGGATTTTCAGCTTCTTTTGGGGGTTGTCATATCTACAGCCGGACGTAATTCTGGAGTTTTAGTCCTTAGGGAAGGCTCTGTCTTGACTTGGATAATTGACAGTGCTGGAATCTTCATTAGTGATTGTGGTTTGTTGAAGAATTTCTCTGCAGATAGCTACTGTAAACAACAAATCATTGTGTTTAAATCTAGTCACCCTGAAACAACATGGGTGCAACAGTTTCATCACTGGAAGCTGTGTGTATGGAGTGACAACAGATACAGTTACTGGTGGATTTACCTCGGTCTTAACATCTGCATCCTTCAGTTCCTTATTTTACCTTCATTCTCTAAAAAATCCTGGCTTCATTCATGATCAGCCACTGTGTTTTGCTACATGGATTGTTGCAGTTAGGCTTGGCCATGGTTGTCAGCTTGCCTCCGGCTATAGTTACTCTCACCCAGTTCTCTGTACAATAAATTTGACCTTTAAAGCCCTCTTCTAACCGCAGTTGTTGCTTCTCGTGTAACTGTTTTTGTGCTAGGCTGAGTTTTCTTCACCACTAGAAAATCATGCCCCCTTTTTTTTTTTTATGCGATGGTAACTTGCTGAAATAAGAGTGCTGTTGAACAGCCTTAGCGTGATTCATCAAACTACTGGTCTCCCAACAGCCTGGACCTCTCCGTAAAGCCAAACTCTGCTCTGGCTCTGTATTTATGCAAACATCTTTGACTGCATTACAGTTAGCACAGTCATTACTCACACCACGGCACTGAAGAAACCTTGACTACGAGATCAACTGACTTTTTTCCCCTGTCTAATCACGAGTTTACATAAAACTGATTTTTAACTGTTTTAAACTAGCAAAGTTAGTTATGGCTTCAGCCTTTCTAATGAGATGCAGAATGTTTTTTCCCCTGCTGCAAAAAGGAGCCTTTGCATGGGATAGTTGCAGCTGAAAATGATAGCAGTGTTTAGCTGCATTTTTAACTTTTGGGTTGGGTGTGGTCCCTTAAAAAAATAGTTATGAATAATGCCTGCTGGGAGCTTGCCATATTTCAATAGATTCCATATAAAACCTATTCTTTACTATTTTAAGACTCCCGAACTCTCTTCAATTAATCTGTTTTCTAGAGCCATAATTGCCCTTCAGCCCCCAGGAGCCAGAGGACACATATTTTGTACAGCTGTGTGTCCTGCTCGGAGATACCTAGTTCAGGCAGTTTTAAGAATCCACAGTTAAGAATCTGTGGGGCAGGGAACGTGGGTGTTGCTGAGCCTGATGGTGAGTTGACAAAGGAGAGAGGGGTTGAGCAGTGTTTCTTGAGACCTCGTTTACAGTGTGGGTTTAATGCTCTGCGTGTGAGACCGGGAGGGGAAAAGCCATCTGAAAAATCTGTTTAGGTGTTCTGTTTCTGTGGTGGGGCACAGAGACTGTGTGCTGGCACCCTACAAACTTGTAGCCCTCTTTCTTTCTGTGGGGCAGTTGGAGGGGGTTTGATCTAAGGCAGAATGGGCATGCTCTTTTCTCAGCAGTCAACACCCAAACCAGTGGAACAGCTGGGTTTCTTGCAAATGTTAGAGCTGCAGTCAAACCTCAGAGATTTCCCCTCATGTCCCTGAGGAACCTCTGGATTCCTTTCTTTTACCCATTACTTCACACCTTCCTCTTTAAGATCCTACCTTTGCAAATGTATCTTTCCAGATGTTCTCAAATATAAAAAGGAATTCCTTTTGTTATGCTGCAGCTGATTAGATGGATGTAGTGCATTCTTACCCTGGGGACTGAGAACCTCTTTCTGTAGCACTATCTGATGTCTTCCCATCCTGCCTGAAGGTACCCGTAAATCCCCAACACCCCAATGTGGAGTGTGGGTCTGAAAGTCTCAATATTAATCCAGGACTGTACGTATCCCTATCTTTTTCAAAAATCTGTGTTTTTCCAAGCTATATTGGAGATCCAGCTATGGATATCTCTTATGTGGCAGAATTTATTTCAGGGAGACAGAAAGCTGTTAACTGAACCTAGACTACACAATGAACCTCCACAGAAATGGAGGTGTAATGTTTTCACTCTGCCATGTTGTATGCAAGCATATGGTCACGTTGCTCTATACTGAACTTCCCAAACAGCACACTGCTGCCCGTGCTGCATCCGGGGCAGAGGAGAAAACAGCATGTCTCCTTTGCCAATATGCATCCCTTGCTGCTTTCCTTGAAGGTGCTCAAAATAATTGAATTTTTTATAAGACCTCCATACGACAGACAGCAATATAAAGGTTGTAAAGCCTGGGCCAGTGCCATGTTGTAACAGAGTCTTTAAGACAAGAGGAGATACCACCTGGGGAGAAATGGCTTTGATGAGCCTATGGTGGCAGATGAGAATCAGGTCTCTGAGGCTTTCACACACTCCAGCTGTTGGCTCTGCCTTTAAGGTATTGATGTCTGATCTGCTTATGATTCAGCTCCTGAACTCTTTCAACTTTGTAGGGCATAAGAGGAACTGAAACGGGAGCCACTTAGCTTTTGGCCCAGCCTACTGAAGCTAGTGGCGGCCCAGGAGCTGGATGAGGAGGAGGTGTGACATCCCTGTGCAGGAGAGCTGGGGAAGGTGGCTGTGAGACCATGCCTAGTTCTTATCTGCTGCTGCAAACCTCCTGGAGCCCTAAAATGTAACCCTCCTTTAAAGGGAAGTTTTGACTTTCGACTGATACAACATAACTTGCCAGATGCCCATATTCTTGAAGTTCTTTGATGCTGGAGTTGTGCTCTAGGAAGTCTTTTCCTCCCCTTGCATCCAGCCTGGGAGAGAGCTGGTTTTATACTGCCTGATTTAAAAGGAGAGAATGAGTTACAGGTGCATATTTCAACTTTAATCTTCCTTCTGGGGGGAAAACTTACTTTGAAAATAAACTGCTTTTCTTTGTAGCGTTATTGCTGCTGTTTTTCCTTGCCCTATAAACGTTCCACAGAGCATTTTGAAATATATTTGGCCCTTATCTCTGCAGATAGCCTTAGTTTTTCTTCAGTAAAACCTTTTAGTTCATGAACAAACTTGTGGTGGTCAGGTAAGGTGAAATATCACCATGCAGTTACATCCACTTGATGTCAGTTATGGAAGTCTTTAACTCCTCCTTTCAGCTGGTAGTAACAGAAACAAACGTGACTGTTGCTGGAGATTCTTATTTTGTGAGACATAAAAGCTCAAGTAGCACTGTCTTCATAGGAAGACTGCTACCAATGGGCTAATTTGAAGCCCTTCCTTTTCTTCTACATTTTTAAATGAGAATGAGAAATTACTTCACAGTTCTGTTCAGGGATATTTTAGATAGATTCTTTGATTCAAACTTGACACCTATTTCATGCTTCACTCAGTTTCAATGTCTTAAAATTACAAAAATAGGAAGTTAGAAAAATAATCTGCCTTTATGCTTCCTCTCCCACCAAAACCCACAAAAGCAGAGCTGGTTTTTTTTTTGGTGCTGAGGTAGTGGGCTTCTGTAATTTCTGAGGAGGGCTCTTTGGTCTGCTGAGATTGTAAACCCAATAGTGGAACTGGGGGCATGATGCCTAAAAGGGCTAAATAGAACAAAGCATTCAAGTTCTCAGGAGGGAACACACTGGTTGGTTTGGGTACTTTTTTTTCCTTGTTCTCACTTATCACTTCAGAGCAGTTGGGTTTATAAACAATTTATGATTTGTAGTAGGCATTATTACAGTTTCTGGTGAGTGGATGACCCCTGTCTGTGGTGGTGAGCTGTGGGAGGGGAGTTAAGAGGCAGATGTCTGTTTCATCTGTTGCACTTTCAGAAAATCTTGGGTGTGTATAAAAAAGCTTGTGATGCTGAATGATCTGGTACTGAATAATACATCTGAAATCTTTGCAAGAAAAAGCATTTGTTTGTACTTATATTTTAAACAAATGTGAATATGGAAGAATAGTTTCAGTATTACATTAAGTGATTCTTTATTTACTTTTTTTTTTTTCAGAAAACCATAGCTAAAATTGCAACATGCTTGGAACTGAGAAGCGCAGCTTTACAGGTACACCTTTCTTTCCTATGTGACTTCATGCTTTAGTGATAGGTAACTACAGAGCTTTTTTAAGCTAATTTAGCGTCTTCAGACATAGCCAAAACTTCTGAAAACAGAGTGAACAAACCCTTGAATGCTTGGACTTTCCAGTTTGTCAATATGATGCCCCAGGTGGCGGCCTTAAAAACCTTTAGAGTGCTTATAGGAGCATGTGATTGGGGTTTGTATAGGAATTTAACCGCAGCTTTTGCACCTGCCTCATTTTCTTCCTTCAGAACTGATTACTTTGTCTTCCTCACCTGTGTGCGGGGGTGAAAACATCCCCAGAATAATCCTTGCACTAATTCAGCCACTTCACAAACCATGTCAGAGCATGAGGAAGAATGTATGTGTAGAATAAAAATTACTTTCGTAGCAGCACATATTGACACAGGCAAATACGTGAAAATAATGATTTAGAAGCTACTCTTTGGGCTTTTTTCTGGACTGAAAGGTGCAGCAAATCCTGGGCATTTGAACAGCGTTGCACTTGTTCTGAGTCCCTGTGACTTTGTGGTGAGGGCAGGCGTGCTGTGGGACAGCTTTGTGGGTCAGGTCAGGCTCAGAGCAACGGCAGGAGGTGCAGCAATGTCATAACCTGCCAAAGTGAACAAATGATGTCCTGCAAGAACAGCCTTCCTTGCTCTTGGTTCCTCAGCAGTAACTCAAGGATTTTATAACCTTGTGTGAGGGTACTAGAACTCCTCGTCCGTTTCACTTTGGGGAGCATTTTACTTGCTGCAGTTCTTAATACAGATTTAAGCAGTTAGTGAGTGCAGTCTTCTTTTCCAATTCCTGTAACAATATGGGTATAGCTTGCCTTGCAAAAGGTCCCTGTGGACACTTGGGCAAAATCAAGATAAAAACCAACCCCTTGAGCCTTAAAGAAATGTTGAAAACAATGGGTGCTCTTAATTAAGAGATGCCAGGGGTGCAATGACATCACCTGGTATGCGTGAGCAAAGGAAGCACCTTGTGTGCTTACTCTAAGATAAGGTAGCTCTGTCTGAGGGGAAGATGCACACTAAATTCTAACTCTTTCTTTGTAATGTCCTAGTCCACCCAATCACAGGATGAATTTAAGCTTGAGGATCTGAAGAAGTTGGAACCAAGTAAGTAGTATCTTTGTATTTTAAGCGAGTGACGTTTATCATTACAGTGGAAAATATGACAGCAGCATGAATACTCACTGACCACAGTGTGGTTTGACAGTAATGCTGGCTTTAGGTGGCTCTTCCAAATATCTGTTACCACGTAGACAAAACTTGATGTGTATTAAAGAATCTAATGCAGGTAACTTCAAAATATAGTAGCCCTAATGTTTCAAGTGATGTATTTGTCTTTATTCTCAAACAAGTGCTGCTAATTTTTGCAAAAAATAATAAATTAAGCTATCAGTAGTACAGTATATAATCAGCTGGAAAATTTAACTGCACATTTCTTATTTGAACTGAATTTCAGTGCTTTGTGGTCTTCCTCCTTGCAGAGTGAAATTTATTTTTTCTTCTGAAAATATTTAACTTGTGCTGACATAGCCAATCACCTGCTGCCTATGGCCGTAATGCTACCAAACTAACGAAGTTAAGAGTCAAAGTGAGGATGTGAGTCAGTCTTTGAAGGGGTTGTGTGATGTTGTTTTTTCCCAACTGATCCTGGGTCAGTTCTTGGTGTGTCAATCCAGAAATAACTTCTTCATGTAGGAAGTATCTATTTATCTGCTGCATTTTCCTTCCCGTAACACTGGCTGCTTTATCCTCAAAGCATCCTTGGGATCAGAGCTTCCACATCTAAGCAGTGTTATCCTGAATGTTAACCTTTCTGCTATTCTTGGGGAATGGGAGATGTGGAAGAGCTTCTTTCACGCTGGCAAAAGCAGGTTTTATTTTGCTCCTGTCACAATTGTATTATTGGGGGGGGATGCTGGGGGTAAGTGTGATGGGCAGGTGAGTGTCTCCACTTTGTGAATGAACTGAGCAATTCTGTGCTTCCACTCTCTAAGTAACTGGCACAGGGTTGTACAGGGAAGCTTCTTAAGGAGCAGGGTGTTGAGCTGAGGTTCCTAGTTCTTCTGCCAAAATGCAGTCCAAATGCTGTTCCCTGAAAATCAAAAGTGAAGGTACATTTCAAAACTGCTGGGGCTGTGAAGACCATAATTCAGGACAGGGTTTAACTGCCTGTTAGAAATATTAAGTCTTTCTCAACCCACGTATTGCATGTCTGGCCTCTGCATGCTCTGGTTTGAGAGCATTTTGTATAGATACTCCTGCTCCCTGTTCACAAAGTATTTAAAATGTTGTAATCACTTAATGACTGTGGGTTTTGGACTCCATTGTGCAAATGCCGTGAGTGACTGAATGGTGCAAGAGGGAGAGGAGTCATGTTTTAATTGATCAGACTGTTCTACAAATCAAAAGAAGTGACTATTAAGGGTTTAGTCAGAATTTACATTCTGCCAACAGGCGTAAAGCTGTCCTTGAAATGCCTCCTTTTCTTAAAAGCCAGAATTTCAATTATGGTGCAACAGTCCTGTTGCTTATCTTGCCTTCCATCAGAGAATTGATTTTATATTTTTTTTTAAGCTGTCAAAAAACCTGTTCAACAGCGTGAAGTAGGTTGAGCCCACACTTCATACAACAAGCAAGTGTATTAAAACTGAAGAAGGGTGTGTGGCCATCGGTTTTCAAAGACACTGAGTTGTTTTCCTGGGAGGAGGATGGATGCATCAACAATTGAACATTGATGTTCTTAATGCTGCTGTCTGACTTGGGATGTTCTGGCCTCCTCTCTGAATTGTGCCTTTGTTTTGCGGGTTATAAGTATATCTTGAATAGAGTCAATCTCAATCAGGCCAACGCCAGCCATTTCATAAAATGCACAGTGAAGTGTTTTAATTTGTGCGTTGTAAATTTTCTCTTGTGTTCCACCAGAAAAAGCTGAAAAAATCTGGGCTGGGAATGCAAATAAGTGATTCCTTTGTTAGGCCAAGCCATTCTGTTAGGGTGGAACGAAAATGGCTATTCACACAATTTGGCTTGTTTTAATTACTTTTGTGCCTGAAGCTGTCAAAGTGGCTGAGCAATTTGGTTTGGGTGTTGTTATAGCAACCAGGGCTCTTAGATTTAAACTTTTTTTTTTTTTTTTATTGTGTTGTCAAGTTCTAACTTCTCCTACTTATGCTTGCATTTCACGCTGCCTGGAAAGCGAAGCAGTTGGGTGGTTTTGTTTATTTATAGGATTTGTCCCTGAATCTTTTGTGCTAGAATAATGCTACAGGAGGGTCCGTACATACAAATAGTTCTTTTGAGACTACACTGTGTGAAATCGTTGCTAATGCTCTGGATATCACAGATCCTTTTCTTGTAGAAGCTTATTCCAGTGTTACAATAGACATTAAAAAAGGGTAGGCTGGAACATCCCGTGTGTCTGTGTTGGGCTGTGATGATTCTAGGCACCAAGAGACTCGAGTTTCAAACTCAGTGTATATGTATTATAAGAGAAGTAGATACTGGGTTGTACTGGGGAGGCTGGTGTCTGACTTATTTTGTGTTGTCTAATTAAAAAATAAATAGATCAGTACAGGTATCATGACTGTCGCTAAACGTCTAAATGGACAGTGGTATTTGGGCCAGTGTGTGCTGGTCTTTTGGCTCGTGTTGATAATGTCTTTCTTTCAAGAGGCAGCCAGCTGCTGAAAAAACCAATGTGATATTGTCCAATGTCACAAAAGAAAAGGCAGCTTCTGCAAGAAAGCCTGCAGAACAGTATTTTATAAAGATTTCTGTTGGAAAAGCAATATAAATGGAGCCCCCAGTGCCGGGACCTGCCCAATAGTTACACATGTGGAGAACTTTCTGAGAGTTGTGATCTCAGCAGCCGTGTTACAGAGGGAAGTGCTCTCTCTCCCAGAGGCGATGCGTGTTTTTAAAAACAAAACTAAAACCAAGAAAGCCCAAACCAGCCTCTTAAGGCGTGGGTGTCTTATGCAGTATTGTAAGGGAGATTCCTGTTCATTGTAACCTTGTGGTTTGTTTCTGTGATCTGGTTGTTTTTATTTAAATCAATTTAAACTTGCGTTTATGATAGACGTAAAGAGGATTTTCCTTTTCCTGAAAGGATGTCGCCTAAAGGATGTTTTATTACTTTGCTTTTTCTTAGTGACTTTGAATAAGTATTTCACCAGGCTGAGCCCTGGTAGATCTTCTTATCCTGATGGTGTTTAAAGGAGCACTTTAATAAATCCGCACAACTTTGCAAAATTATTTACTGTAGGTGATGAGACAGTTTGAAGGCGTTTTAAAAGAACTTGATCCACAGCTTTCTCTGGCAAAAGGCAAGAGGTTTTGGGTGGTGTTTCCAGTGTACTCTGGGCAGGTTGGGTACCAGCACCCCTGTGCCTGGCTGTGGCTCTGCCTCCAGGCTGGCTCAGGATTTTAGGTGCTGTGAAATCCTTTGCCTCTTCCCTGTGCTCATACCGATGGAGTATTTTGTGCCCTCTAGTGATGACTGAAATGCATCGCTGAGGTTTGTTTTATTTTTCAGGGGGTGCTCATTCACGTAGGGAGAGAAATTGGTTACTGGGAAGAGAGAGGAATCTCGTGCTTACCAGCCTGTGGGAGATGGGAGGAGAGCCCTGTAACTGCTGTTGGTTGTGTATGACATGCCTGTGATCTGTAAGAGATCTTCCTTTGCTGAGATTTTTCTGCCTGGGGCACTTTCACTTTCTGTCTCCAGTATGATGGGAGACTCCAAGAGCTGGGGAATTCTGAGTGGGATAAAAATCCCCTTCTTTTCCTGATCCTCAGCTGCGCTGGGAGGTGACTGCTATTAATCAGCTGCTTTTCTGTTAGGAAGTGGTTGTGATTCTTTACTACCATGTTGAAATCTGCTTTAGTGATCCCTCGGAGTAGAAATCTTTGGAGAGACTTGGCAGCAGTTTTGTCTGTCACATCTCTGACTGAAGGCAGCTTGAAGCTTTCTATGTATTTATATATTGTGTCCAGCTGGAGTCAGGCAGTACCAAACCTCTCAGGTGGTGGTATGAAAATCAGGAAAAAAATCAGAATGAGCAAAGACTGGAAAGACTTTTGGGGTTCTTTATAGTTTCCCTGGGGGATTATTTATTCACTGTAGCATTCAGATGGTGTCTGGGAAGTTAATGATGGAGCCCACGCTGAGTGATGTGAATATGAAGACAGACAGGGAAGCTTTCCTACACTGGCTGAATTGTAGCCTGCAGAGGGGCCTGGCAGTGGTTCCTTAAACATAACTGGTATTTAAGTACCTCTGAGTGTTTGTGTAATCTTACCATCATTTAGAAACAGTTTTGTTCTCAGTCAGTGGTCCTGAGGGGAGATTTCCCGTGCTCTGGGAGGGTTTATGGCAAAGTGGGGCTCAGTGAGAGGACTCTGTTTTTCTACCTCCTCTCCCCCTGCCCGGTCTGGGGTACTCATCGCCTGGTAGGAGAGTGCCTCTCCCTGCAGGCCTTCTCTTGGAAATTTTTAGGCCCTTTAGCCGTCACGAAATGCTTATTTCTTTCACATGCTTGTGGAAGTTTTGCTTTTACTTGCCAATGCTTTTGGAAATAACAGCTAAAGTTGTGATTACTAAAACTTGAGTAAGTTTCCAATACGAATGGCAAAGCCATTCTCTGTTGAATGCTGGAGAGTATAGTGGGTGTCTCTGGTGCTTGGATGGTCAGATGTTCCACTGTATCTCTGCTCAATTTTGCCAATCTTCCCAGATGTCTGAGGGCAGAAAAAACCAAAAAGCAAACAAAAACCACCACCACCACCAAAAAAACCCCCAAACAAAGTAGGAAATCTCAACTAAGCTGTGTTTTCCCAGCATGCTTGGACTCCCACGGTGGCCAGCTGAAGGTGCAGCCTACATGTGTGCTGAAGTGTGTCAGTTCTGGAGAGTTCAGTCTGTTTGGAGCTGGTGGCAGTGCCAGCAGCACCCTCCTTTCAGCAGCCACCATTGCTACCATCACCCTGGGACCTGTCGCTTTTTCTGTTGATGCTTGTGGTTGTTGCCTTGTTTCTCTCCCCTAAACGTGGTGGTGGTTACGTCCTGGAGTTGCAGTTTGTCTGAACGTTACGGTGATACACCTCTGATCAGGACTGTCCTGGTGTTTAAGAAGAAGGGGGTGAGGTTTTTTTGTATGATCTGATTATTCTTTAAATATTTTGTGTGTGTGAAGATGCTGTGAGAGTGGACATAGCTGTGCAAAAGTTAAAAATTAATGCATGTTTATGGATATGGATTCTTATTTTTTTCCCCCCTCTCTGCAGTCTTAAAGAATATCCTCACTTACAATAAGGAGTTCCCCTTTGATGTTCAGCCTGTCCCACTCAGGTAAGAGAGAGCTGGGTCACTCCATCTACTGGAAGGGAGCGGAGCCTGGGACCTGGTGTGCATCTGAAACACTAGAATTTCTATACTCACCTACCTCCTGTACTGCTGTGGGTAAACTTCTTAATGAAAAAACTTTTGAATTCTGTTTGTTTAGGTACCACTAAAATCAATCCTGTGCTTTTGGTAAGAGCAGGACTTGGTACATCCTTACATCTCTCTGAATTTGTCAGTACTGTCTCTTGACTCTGCTTTCCATTGGACTTGAGCTCCTGTATTCTCTGTCAGATCCTGTAGTACAGGTGGTGGTTAAGAAGTAGTACAAAATGCCATTAAAGCATGTTGCCTCTGCTGTATACTCAGATGCTGATTCGTGAGTTGAAAGCCAGCTGATGAATGATCTTTGGTCTCATTCTTCTTTCTCATGTTTTACAGGAAGATTTTAGCACCTGGAGAAGAGGAACACTTGGAGTTTGAAGAAGATGATGAGGAAGGAGGAGCTGGAGCAGGGTCTCCAGACTCTTTTCCTGCTAGAGTTCCAGGTAGGGGCAGTAGCTTTGCTGTGCCAGCCTATGTAGCATGTGTAAGTTCTGTCTCTGAGGAGTCCCTTTCTCCACCTGTGATTGGAAAAGTTTGGCTGAGGAGCAACAGGCTCATGTGAGCTCTAATTCTGTACTGGAGAATCACAAAAGCGGCCAGTGGATTTTTTTTCTCTGCAAACAATCTTATTGCAAAATGGTTTTATGGATAACCTGTAAGGGTGGTACCACCTATCTTAAATAAATAGCCTTTATTCCTTGTTCAAACTCAGTAGTTTTGTTCCATGCACTTTCTTTACTGTGTGAACTGTTTCATATGTGAGTTGTGGCAATGTTTATCCAGCAGGGAGCATTACCTCCTGCTAGAGATGTCAGAAGTTATTGCTGGTTATTTTTGTGTTCCATTTGCTGGTGAGACACTGGCTTAGACTAAAAACAAGCTCTGATGGGATAAATAGGGGGGTAGCTTTGGTTTTGATAGCTTAAGTCCTTGTCTGTGTGAAAGCACTTGGAGAACTGGATATCCCTACAGATTTTAGAGAAGGTCTTCCTGTAACTTCAGCTTTTGGCAGTTTACTGGGTAAAGAGGTAGGATGTTCTAACAGAGGTTCTTTTGGTTTCTGGTGTAGTTTCTCTTCAGAAGCAGTAGGTTTTTACTTTCGGAGCAGATTGGCAAACTTTGTATTTCAGGAAGGAGATAACAAGTAGGGAGACAAGTACTGGAATCATGGTTGGAAGAGCTGGGCTGTTGCATTACTTATGCCTCAAGAAGCACAGCAGAGAGAGCCTGAGTAGCTCTTGTGTTGGTGGTGAATCAGCATTACCATAGGGTCAGCAGTTACCTCTGTGCAAACCGTTGGAGCTGTGTGCATATAGTGGATGCAGAAGCTGTGTGTGTGCTTAAGAAGGAGTCTAAGGTGGTGGCAGACAAATTGAGTTTACAGTTAAATCATTTTCAAAGAAGGAGGGTGGCCAAACTGGAAAGAAGAGAGGATTGGGCCATATACTTTCTTACAGAATTACTCCTCCGTAGGACCATGCCTTTAAAAGGAGGTGAGAGCAACTCCTGAATTTACTGATATTTTACATTATCATCTACTTAATAAACTGCATTTAGACTTTTCTGATTTTTTTTTCATTAAAGTAAGCTTGGCAATAGTTATAATAATCTAAACCTGTAACTGATGTGGTTTTGTACTGCTTGAACACAGATCTTGTTTCCCCATTGAACACAAATTAATGTGGTGTTTCGTACCTGGTTGGGGGTTGGTCTTTCTCTGGGTGATGAGGCTTAAAGAAAAGCAGTTTGCAGCCTTCTGGGGTGAGCCTTGTAAGGACTTCCCATATTGAATTGCTACAACTGTGTTGCACCCTTTGCTTCTGTATGCCTTTAATCCATAGTGCGTAACTGCCTTGTTTAACTGACCATGGTCTTGTCTTCTCCATGCATGGCTTCATCGTTATCACATTGCACCATTCATCTAACCCAGGAGCCAATGAAGGTATGATAACCTTTTTGGTATATACACTTATTTCTTTGATCATATTCATGTAGCTCTGATGTCCTTCATTCAACTCTTAGTTCCAACCCTCGAAATACAATCTTTGGTAACAGTTGTCGTATTAGGCATCTGGGTGTTGATCTTTGTTTGCCTTCAGTACTAGGAAAAGGGGTGGTCGTATTTGGTGAGGTGCCTTACATAGCTCTCTGTATGTCCTACTGTATAGGAAATCCTACACAAAGAGGGCTTCTGCAGTTAGACTTCTGCGCTGTATGGAGCTGAACTGACCAATGCTCACTACCCCTAACATCAAAGCTTTCCTGCCTTTCTCCTGGTCATACACTTCTTTATTGCAGTGCTGTGCTCGCAATGGATTCTTCTGTGAACCCAGCAGGAGACTTGTCCCTTTTCCCCCTTTCTTTGAATGAAGGCTGATGGCCCCAAGCTGTGCTGGCAGAGCTATGCCAGCCATAGTAAAGCTATAACAGGGAGAGGTGGCTACAGAAGTTCAGTGAAAGACCTGTTTGGGTGGTTGTGGCTCACAGGCAGAAAGGAGACCCTGTTCCTTGGACACCATCTCTCGTACTGTTTTCTTACCTACTGGAAGTGGCTTTTCTGTTCATTGCAACTCTGCAATTTCACACATTCTGGACAGCATTTTACAAGAACAGAATAATTGTTCTTAAGCCACTATTTGTAATAAATGCCAGTCTGGTGCATCCTTCTGGTGATTTTTCTGTCAAGTATTCCATCACTTAATTCTTTTGAGGGGTGGATAGGACAGCTGAAGGTTACAGTTACTCTTGGGGGACTTGCTGCTTCTAGGGAACAATGGAAAGATGGCAGAGCAAAGGATTGCTTCTGCCCTCACTTAGACTGAAATAAGAGCTCTGTCTTTGAATGTTTGTTCAAGAGAGACAGCAAGATGAACCAGAGCGTGTGTGCTGCTTTGCAGAAGTGGCTGCTCTCTAAGAAGTTTACTTTTTTAACATTCAACATACTGTAGTCAGAAGCCTGTCCTGTTACCTCAATGGTGTGTGGAATTCTGCTGTGGTACGTTGTGAAGTGTTGGCAGATGCGGTCCCTTGGAGGTCCAGCAGCCAAGGCAGGGTGTAATGTAATCTACTATATCATAGATGTGAACTCCAGTCTTGCTGGTGATCCTGAGGGAGGGACTGGGTGTGGGAGCACTCATGGAATCTCGCTGAAGTTGTGGCTCTAATTCTCCCAGCAGAAACGTGGTCCCCTCTTGCGGAGCCAGTCTCTCTAATAGGACACAATCTCCCTGGTTCTTTGGCTCCTCAAGCAGATCAAGAGGGGGAAAACCTATCAAGGAAAACCTGTATTGCACTGGCCAAAGGAAACTATTATTTTGTTTAGATCTCAAGCCTTGGGATAACTTTTTATTTTTTAAATTAAAAAAACCCAAAACTTTAAATCAAAATTGCTCATCAGTCTAAACGATTTCTGTCTTGGTGCTTATTCATCTAACACTGGAGAGAGGCTTGAACCCTGTGGGTTTTTGCTAAAATCAGCACGAAGAAATCTACGCTGTTGTTGATGAATCTCGTGGCTTTCAGGGAGTTTGGGGAGTTTAGGTTTCTTGCCAGCTGCACTGTCTTCCTCAGTGCTGTGAGGATTCATTTATGCTGACCGCAAAGTTTTGATGTTAAACGTTCATGATGCAGAGCTAAGAGCTCCTTCCTTAAGGCAGAAGGGAACTTGGGGAATGCCAGTACTATTGGTTTGGTTCTTTTTTTTAATTTTTTTTTTTCTTTAAGTAGAGGCCAACAGAACTTAGATCATAAGAATCTCTCTTTTGGTTCCTTTATGTCCAGTGGGATTTGCAACAATGCTGTTTTCATCCTTATTCCCCCAGTCTAAATGTTCAGCATGAAGCCAAGTCATGTTCAGTGGGGTGGGACTCCTGATTAAGCCTCTGAACTTCCTGCGACTGCAGATTGAATCCAGCCTCCCAAATTTAATCCTTAAAAATGATAGAAAGTGAGTTCCATGAATGAGTTATTCTGCAGGAGAGCAAGAAAGAACACTTTAAACAAAGCTCCTCTCTATTCTTATGGCATTAGGTTTTTTTTTTATTAATTCATTTGATTTGAGGCAGTCTTGAGTTTTTTTTTGGTGTGGGCTTTGAAATCTGGCAAATGGTGTCGCGTGTGTGTCCTATTGGGGTATGAATTCTTGGGCTTTGAACCCCCTGAGGAGAACAGAGTGATAAGTGAGGCCTCTGCTGTAAGATGACACAAAGGGTTAATCATATGCTTTCCTCTTTCCAGGTACTTTATTACCCAGATTGCCATCTGAACCCGGGATGACGTTGCTCACCATCAACATAGAGAAAATTGGTCTGAAAGATGCTGGGCAGTGCATTGATCCTTACATCACAGTCAGTGTGAAGGGTAAGGATTTCAGTTCCTGGCCCCTCGTGTCTAGTTTGGAGAGAGTGCATTTTCTGAAAGCGCTATTGATTTTTCAACCTGCTGGGAAAAATACTTGTTGGTACTTGCATTTTCTGTTGTGGACTTACAGCTTCTGCTTTTATCAAGGGTGGGAAAATTCAGTATTTGAGAGATGATGGGAGGTGAATCACTGAAGTAAGATCCCTTTGGGCTGCTCCTACTCCCCAACACCTACTGGTCTCTGGGCTTTCTGGAGACAGTGAACCACAGCCCGCTGACGCCAGTCTTGCCCTGTCATTAAACTAATTTTTTAGTAAAACAAAGATCATCTTACTAAGGCTTAAGGTTTGGAGGAATGGGTATGAAACTGGGAAGCAAAGCTGGCAAGTGAAATAAAATATGAAATGTGTTTTAACCTTGGCAGTGAAATATTTCAGCCAAAGCCTGGGGGGCTAATAGCCTGCCCCTCTGAGAGCCTTCATGAATCTGGAAGAACCTCTCTCTCTGTCAGTCCAAGATAGGCAACATGAGGACTTCTTACTGTTTCTGTTGACAACATGGTTGATGTCTTTTGGTTGAAGCTGAGATTTTTCATATTCAGACTCTTCCTAGAGGGAGCATCTGCCTCTTCCCCATTTTGCATTTCTTAGCAGGAGGCCCCTGTTGTCAGAACTGCTTACCCTTAACCTGCCCTGCAGGGCTTCTGCTCATCTTTACTGTCTTTTGAGGTGTATGATTTTTCCTGTTTATCATATAAAAATTTGTAGCTGAGCCAACAGCCTGTAGTAATTTTCAGTTGTGAGAGTGACCTTGTATGTGTCCTCTCTGGATGTGCTGTTGGATCCCAAACACAGGGATAACATACCTGTTAGATGTGTGATCGGGTGCTGCCTCCCCCAGAAGGTGCTTCAGCAGAAGTTAAGGGTTGTGGGATTGAATGTCACTTCAATCCTGGTGACATTCTCAAGTGTTACCTGCCAAAATTCATAGACAGAAAGCTTTGTCTCACCGCGCTTCCTGTGATGACTTTTTTCCAAGGGTGAAACCTTCCACTTCTCTCTGGACCTTTGAGGAATTCCCCTGGTTGGGGTGGGAGCAGCGTTTCTTTGTTTCTGGTGTTGCCTTAGGTTTGCATGATTGTTTTTAGATCATATAACTATTCTTTGGGCTCCACTGCTCTACCCATTTGTGGAGCTTTCTTTGCCTCTCGTATGGCAGAAAGCTGAGGAACGGGTGTGTCAGTGGTGGGGCTGGATGGATGGGGGTTTAATCAGGTTTCATTCTTTCATGCCCAGTTCCTCCGGGCCAACAGGAAAATGCCAGCCCTAAGAGGGTTCTGACATCAGATTCTGGAAGTTATCAGACCTTGTAAAGCAAACATTGGTTGTTCCTTGCCTCTAAAATGTCTGTCTTTCTTCACTTATTACGTATTGTTAAAACTGTTGCTTGCCTTCTGAGCGAGGTCTTAGTTCCTTTCTGGAGCCACGGGAGACTGTACGTTGCTAGATTAACAAGTCTTTCTGTTACCATGTGGTGCTCTATTTGCAAGCTCCTGGAAATGGTGGCTGCCAAGTAAAGATGCAGAAAATAAGACCAAAAAGTAAAGAGGGAGTATTATCACCTCGTCTGCTAATGGTGACTTTTTCTACTTTATTTCTCATGATTTTTATGTAGAAAAGTAACTCTGAAAAGTCATTTTGTTCCTATTAGGAATCTGAAGACCTTTAGTAGCTGTTTTCCTTGGTTTTATACCAGGCTGCTCTTCTGCAGGTTTAAAGAGAGGTTTGTTCCTGATGCAACATTAGTTGCAGAGGGAATGGAACCCTTGGCTGGCAGCAGAAAGGAATAGATTCTTAAAAACAAGAAGGATAATTCCAGATTTTCATCTTAAATATTGTTGGAACTTTACTTGCTTTCATGTTGCAATCACAAAAAAAAAATTCCCTGAAGGGGCACGGTTGCCTCTTCTTTTTTTAAGTTTAGGGGGGAAATCTAGGTTGCATTTCCTTTCTGTTGCAATATTAGAGATGATTTATAAAACTCCTAAGAGTCTGAGAAGCTCCTGCTGTTCTCATGCTGTTTCTTCCCTGCAGATTTGAATGGGATAGATCTGACTCCTGTGCAGGACACTCCGGTGGCTTTGAGGAAGGAGGACACGTATGTCCATTTCAATGTGGACATCGAGATTCAGAAACACATTGAGAAACTAACAAAAGGTGGGTGGTGGCAGAGACATGGAAGGGGCCCCGGGAGCTCTGAGGGTGCAGACACCAGGCTGCTCCTGAGCTGCTGCTGTAGACGGGGATGAAAATAGACCTTTGCATCCTCTCTCTTTCCAATCGGTCGTTGTGATGACTCACAGACAAGGGAGGGAGGAAAAGAGATAGAAATGCAGCACTCTGCTCTACTACATGGGTGCTGAGCTGCCTTGTCACCTTCTGGGTCACTGGAGAAGCTGTCACCTGGCTGTGAGTGAGGGAGGGAGGAGTACAAGCTCCTGTGAGTGTGGTGGGCGTTGTAAGGAGCACAGTATAGCTTCTGAGTCATTAGCAGAAGTGTTGGGGATGATTCCCTCCAATGTACGTAGAGCATCTTAATGGCCAGATAAGTTTTCAGATAATTATTGGCCATAATTGCTAACTTTTCTGTTAAACCATTTTCCATTCCAGGTGCAGCTATTTTCTTTGAATTCAAACACTACAAGCCTAAGAAGAGGTTTACGAGCACCAAGTGCTTCGCTTTCATGGAGATGGATGAAATTAAACCTGGGGCAATTGTTATAGAACTGTAAGTGGTTTGCAATTATAGATGCCAAGGGCAGAGGAACTGAAGGAAAGTTGCAATGTGTGGCTTGTTGCATCGAGGAAGGTTCTTTGGACTCATTAGATTGACTTCCACAGGGAATATTCCATTATTAGTAAAGAAGGGAAGATAAAATGCTTTTAGGCAAATAAAATGGCTAGAGATCCTTCTCAAAAACTAGGCTATTTCCAAATAAAATGCTGATGTTTGTAACTAAATTTTGTATGAAGTTAATAAATTCTGTGTGGGAGATTTTAATTTTGACCGTAGCTTGATCAGCTATATTTAAAAAAAAAAGTAATCTTTGGCACAGAACATCTGTAAAGGAAACCTGTTTTGAGCCATGGGATGCTGATTTGCAATTGAATTTTAGGAACTTTTCAAAGCCTTGTTGGGTGGGTGGTTGTTTTCCCCTGTTCCAAACATGCAGAGTGATTAGCCAGTGGTGCCGCAGCGGTCACCTGGATGCACATCCTGACCTCGCTGTGTGCCTGAAGGCCTGAGGGATATTCTTGAGGGTTTTATTTTTCAGGAGGAGGGTGCATCTTGCCATTCTGGGTGTCTGTGGGAGGTGCTTTGTCTGTGCTGGCAGGAGAACTGCCCACGTACTCACCGCTACTGCATCTCCTGCCATCCTCAGTAATAGACTGGGAGTTCTCCTTACAAAAGCCTTACGTTCATTTAAAAATTGAAATCTGTGTTTTGTTAAAATAGTAACATGGGGTGTGTTTAGTTTGGAGAAGAGGAGGCTGAGGGGAGACCTGATTGCCCTCTACAACTCCCTGAAAGGAGGTTGTAGAGAGGTGGGTGTTGGCTTCTTCTCCCACATGAATAATGACAGGAGCAGAGGAAATGGTCTGAAGTTTGCAGCAGGGGAGGTTTAGATTATATTTAGGAAGAATTCCTTTACTGAGAGGGTGGTCAGGCACTGGAACAGCCTGCCCAGGGAGGTGGTGGGGTCACCATCCCTGGAGGCATTTAAGAAATGTGTAGACATGGCTCTTCAGGGCATGCTCTAGTGCCCGAGATTGTTCATTTGTGTCTGTTTGTGTTGGGTTTTTTTTTTGTGGTTGGACTTGATGATCTCAAAGGTCCCTTCCAACTATGAAGATTCTGTAATAATTCAGAGAAAATACTGGTTTGAGTTTCTGTCTGTAAAATCTGCTCACTGTTGTTGCTTCCAGTGAGCCTTTTCAGGTGTGTTTAAAAGATGATGGTGATAAGATGTGTAGAGACCAAGCTTTCTAGTGCGCTTCCACCTCCCTGCCCCGCCGTTAGCCCTTGGGTTAACTGACTTTCTTGTGGTTCCAGGTACAAAAAACCCACTGATTTTAAAAGGAAGAAACTGCAACTGTTGACCAAGAAACCACTCTACCTTCACCTCCATCAGACATTGCACAAGGACTGACCCCAGCTGTGACTCCTGAGGACTGAACCGCTGTCCCCATAGCTGTGCGTCGTGGCAGGAGAGAGGGGCCAGAGGGGACCATCGCAGCTGCACAGCGCTACTTGGGGGTCAGAGCCCAGCCTGCCCTCCCATGGCGAGGCTGCTTTCAGTTCCTTCCTCATCCAGGTTTTTCCAAGAGCCCTGAAATTCGTTGACTGCTTTTCCTAATTTTGCTGTTCACTTTTTTTTCCTCTTAAGCGTTCTTGTCCTTTCACCTCCAGCTCCACCCGAGGATGGAGAAGTGCCCCTTTGCCAAACCTGTAGCAATAAAGAGGTGGCAGCCTACTCACTGGTCACACGCTGTGCTGCTGGAGTTCCTCCTCTCCCCTGCATTTCCCAGTTCCTCTGCAGCAGGTGGGGAGGAAGAGGAGGAGGTGGGGAGGAAGAGGAGGTGGGGCAGGAGAAGGAGCCTTGAGGTACCGCAAGTGATTTGAAGCGAAGGAGAGGAAGGTGGTGGTGGTGGGGACAGTGGGGTGGCCCCTCAGGAGAGCTCTTCAGTCAGGTGTTCTGCTTTGGTGGGGCAGGAGGAGGACAACTGCAGATGAGAACATTCCAGAATCTTATCCTCAGCCTCACCTGATCCACTCCTGCCCAGTTTTGGATGCAGTACAGCCCCTGGTAGAGTTAATTTCTCTCTCTCTCTTGTCTGAGTGATTTGCAGAGGTGGGTGGGGGACAGAGGGAGGCTTTCTCCAGGGCTTCGTGTCACCGTTTCGGTGACAGCAGGACAGGCCCCTCAGTGTCCAAGAGTCAATGTTCCAGAGCTTTAGGTGAAGCTGATCTGAGTAGCAGGTTGACCCACTTTTTACATGAAACTGCTGTTCTTATGGAAACTGGTTGTATGCAGTTTTCTGCGTATTTTGTGCAAGTCTGGAAACTTACTCTAAAAAAAAAAAAATTACCTTTTTGTGTAAGTAGATAGGATTATCATTTATTTTCTATATTTTTGGTGTGTAATAAGCTGCAGGACATTGGCTTATTTTGACACACTTGCATTCACTTTGTGACCTAATAAAGGGACAGAAGTAGAACCCAGTCAAATCTTTCCTATATTTGCGTGGATATTTAATACAGTACTTTAAGGTTTGATAGACTTCTTGCATCTCTAACTAGTGCCTAAATACTCTGCTACGCTCACAGAAGACCCAGCTCCCAAAATAGTGACAAATAGTAAGTTTATTTTAAACCATCTGGGTGCAGAGATAAATATCACCAATTCCTCTTTGTCATGTAACCCCAAGATGCTATATTATGCTTTAATGGGAAGTTACTTTTCCTTGTGATATTTGTTTGTTTTGGGATAAAAAGCTATTTTTGAATGTCCTAATCTTGCCTCCCCTTTTTTTCTGGTATAACTGGGGGTGATGTTATTTAGGTGTTATGACAAAAGGTCAGCAACGCTTCCTCAAATTCCACTGCTGGTTGGAGGGGGTGAAAAAAGTAAGTGCAATTGAATTTTCCTGTTTACGGGTCTTTACAATACCCCGGTGGCGATATGTTTAATATCAGGCCCTGAAAAGAGATCCCTACAAGTTACAAAGTACCTCTGAATGCAGCGTTCTGGGTGCCTGACCAAAGGGGGGTGCGTGTTCTTAAAAAGAAGGTTTATCCATGTGTCATTAAGCCACTACACCAATCCAGCCCGTGGTTCCAGCCGCTTCCCTTGCCTCGTCCCCGGCTTGTCGATGTCTGTGTAACTCCAGTTATACCCAATGTCAACTCGGAAGTATTTTATTTTTTTGTTAAATACACAAGTAGAGCTTTGTATTTAACTAATTGTGAATTAACGTCTGTAGAGTGTGAAATACCATTTTTCAAGCTGCTTCTGTCCTTTGTGTTTTTTCTATAAACTGTCTCTGGCTGCTGGGACTGCTGCCCCAGCACGAGCTCCTGAACTGTGCTGTGTTTAGTGATGTTCTGTCTCCTTTCTCTCCTTAAATCTACAGCTCTGTACTTGTGCTGTAAGTGTAACGCCTACACAGCACCTTCAGTGGCTGCCTGTACTCCAGCAGTAAAGCTCTAATGGCCTTCCAGGAGGGTTTTTTATTATTATTAGTTGTTTTCTCTTCCTTTTTTTTTTCCTCCCTCAGGCTTACTTTTGGTAAGAAGGTTAGTGTGTAGATAAGTGTGTGCCCTGCTGTGCCAGATACTGCCTACTCATCCTTAACACCTACACTGGGGCTGTGCTTTATAAAGCTGTTCTGTGCCTGCAAACTGATCCACAGCGATACACGGCCATGTGGTTTATGGAAACCCACTCTGCTTTATGGAAAACTATTTTTTTCTTTTTAACGTAAGTGAAAAAGACTATAAAAATACAGCTCTACTCTGCCAAAGAAGCGGAATTGGTCTTAAATAGTGAGTAAGATGAAACCTCAGCTCTCAAACCTTGCTTAACGCCGCAAGCCTGTCCTGAAAGCAGAAAGCCATTATGAAATGTCTTCAATTCTGGACTCCTGGAGTTCCAAACTAACCAGGAGAGCCCACGAAGGTTCCTCAGGTGAGGAGGGCTGGGCGGTTGTTAGTCTCACAGCAGTTGTTCAGCTTGGATTCAATTCCAGAACTGGTTAAACGACCGAACCCACGTCCTTTCTGAACAAAAAATGGCACTGAAACAAAGCCTTCAGGGTTTAGCAAAAGGAATTTTGCTTTTTATTATAACTCTCCTTTGAATACAGTGTCATTTGTGCTTCTGATCTCTGACCAGACATCTTTTTTAAAATAAAAAAAAAAGAACACCTCACAGTCCTCATGTAAACCCCGGGCCTACAATAACTGCAGCTTAATGATGTGATGGAGAAGGCAGGTAGGATAGCATTTTACTTAAAAATTATTTCCACAGGAAATGATTTGATTTACATTTTTCACGAAATTAGTTCATTCACCAACTGGTTACAGAGGCTACATTTAATTAAAACTAGCCACACAGGTACTTCCTTTCTATTGCACGTTTAGAGTAGGTTCAAGTCCATCACAAAAAGGTTCTTGCAGCCCAAGAGGATGGATGAGTTTAAGGTGATCATAAATGCACATATGATGTCTGTAGCAATCAGATAAAAATTAATCCCGCAAAAGCTTGAAATATACTGAAATGAGACAAATGGCTTCGAATAGAGAACCCATTTCCTAAAATCCTGACTGCAGGAAGTGCGCTGGAGTCCGTTCCGCTGAGCTGCTGCTGACCAGAGGCTGCAGTCAGGGCTTCTGGGCCGGGGGCTGTGTGTAGTCCTTTGGGGGCGGCGGGGGCCCTGCCGGGTGGTCTCTGGGTCCCGCTGGGGGCAAGTCTCTGTTAGGAGAAGGCGTATAGTCTCTGGAGCCGGGCGGGGGTAGCCGTGGGCCAGGAGGATAATCCCTCGGGCCAGGAGGCCCCAGGGGTGGGAAGGGAGGGTGGCCACGGCCGTAGCCTCGCGGGTCTGGAGGTGGCATGGGGCCAGGAGGAAGGTCTCTCATTCCTAAGGGCGGGCCGGGCAGGAAGTCTCTGGGAGCCGGAGGAGGCAAGGGAGCACCACGGACTGGAAGGAAAGGAAAAGGCCGAGTTAAATGACATCTTGCTTTGACCAAAGCGGTGAAGCTCCTGAATTCTTCCTCTTTGAGGTGGGTCAGTGCCACACACACACCTCACAGGCCACGAATTACTTGTGGCTGCTGGTTTCCATTTTTGGCTAAACAAGGAAAAAAACCCCTTGGCACTAGGGAGCCTTGGAACAGCCCACCTGTCCCAGCTTCCCAAAGTGAGCACTGACACCGAGGGATTCCCAGGAGCAGGGTGGGAAGAGCAGCGCTCTGGCACGCGGCAACGCGACCGTACCTAAGGGCACAGGGAGAGGTCGAGGCCCGAAGTGTCCCCGCAGAGGAGCCGGTGGTGGTCCGTAGCGAACAGGCGGCGGAGGGGGAGGTCCCATGGCTGGGGAGGTCATGATGGGCGTCCCAGGGAAGGAGGGCGGGCCTTTGGGACCAGCGTTACCCTGCGCAGGATGGGGTTAGTGCCTCAGCGTGGTGCTCACCGCAGCAGAGAAGCGCCCATGCTGCTGAACACCACAACCACTCACCCAAAGGCCAAGAAGAGGAGGAGAAAGGGAGGGAAGAAAAGGAAAAACACACCCCAAAACACATTAACCCAGTAGAAAACAGGGCAAGTTATTGCAGTGTCACTGTCCCTTCACCCAGAACACTGCCTGCGCTACCCAGGAGTGAGCGCTCAGCGCACCTTCCGAGACAACACCTTTCTTTAGAGTCTTTAGTTTCTTTAGGTGAACTAGAGAAAAGTCCAATCCCTTCTGAAATGTCCTCAGTGGACACCCCTTTGGCAAAGGGTCTGGCACCTTGGATTACATATGGAACTGTGCTTAAATACCACAGGTACGTCAGCTGCTCAGGATTACTGTAGTAGTCACTCCAAAGCCATTGCCTGCAGTCCTTAACAAGAAAAACCTCATTTCCTCAATTCCATAAAAACCAGAGAGCAACTGTTCATGGTCAGAGAAACCCTTTGAGACAGAGGTACAAGCCCTGGGTTAGTTTGGCAGAGCACGTTGTTATTTAGCAGTCCAGAACACCAAGCCTGTTATTCCTCTCCGTGGAAGCAGAGTAACACCATGTTCAGCCTCTGAATACTCACTGTAGCTGGTTCAACGGGTGAGGGTGAATCAGTAGTTACACAGGGAGCCTCAGACTCTTTGGGAGAGGGTTGCTTTTTTTGTTTTTTGAACAGCAAATAAGGATAGTGACAGGATATAGACAAGACAGAACACGATACAGTTAAAGAAGCAGCAGGAAGTACAGTGAATCCTCTAACACTTCCTGAAGGCTGGGGGGGTTCTACTCACCACTCCGTCCATTGCTGCGGAAGGGGAAGAGGTCCTTGGCCCGCCACCGATCAGGGACGCAACAGCAGGCCCGAGATCTGCAAAGAGAGCAACAAGTGCGTGTCTTGCTGTGCTTGGGGTAAGGAACGGGGCTTTTAAATTACATTTCTGAAGTGGAAGAATAGCTGAATTAATTGCAGTTGGTTGCAGGCCCATAACTTACCAGGAACAGACATCCTTCCAGGCAACTCTGGTGGCCTTCGTGGAGCAGGGGGCCCATCTACCACTGTACCTGAAGGGAAACAAGAACCACAGAGATCCCAATCAACACCTGGATCAATGCCTAACCTGTGTCAGTGCCTAATACTGTCCCTAGAGAAGACTTTAGGATTCCTGGATTTGTGGCACAGGATAGTTATGACAGAAGAGAAGCTTCCCCACTTACCAAATTCACCTCTGGGGCCCTCCCTTCGAGGAGCAGAAAGGGGCCGGGCAGGAACTTCTATCATCTGTGTGGGTGAGGGATTTCCTCCGCTCACAGGTGATGGGCCAAAAGAGCCATCTCTGCTTAAGGGCCCTACGCCAAAGAAGAAAAAACACTGGATTTACTTTTCTACAATTTATCCTAGCCTTATTTTTTTAGGATACGCTGACTCAAAGACCAAAGTTTTGGGAGAAACAGCAGCATTTACCTCGTCGTGGTGGGACTTGGCGATCGGGTCTGCCCGGAGTTGGTTTTACAATCAATGGTCTTTGAAGCATGACGATTTTTTGGTTTACTTCTATTAATCTAATTTTAAGAAATAAAGGAGGGGAGGGTATTCAAATAATACATGTGAGTTACATTTGTTATAATGTAACAAGGCAAATACATTGTAAGATGTTACAGCTTTCACCAAGAAATCTTATTTTACCATCAAAACATTGTAATAGTAGTTTAGAATTAGTAACTCAAATGGCACCCAGTACAACCGAGCACCTTGCACCGCTTAAGCTCCTTCTCTCCTTTGAACACGCAGCGTGTTCCAAGAGCAATACAATGGTCTGGTCTGTACTTACTTCTGCCTCAGGTTGGCTGCTTCTCTCTTCTCTTCAGCCAGAGCTCTCTCGGCAGAGCGGGCAATGAGCTATTAGGGAAAATTTTGCCAATTGCATTAACTGCACCAACCAGAAGTCAAATACAAACTCCTCGTGTCAGAAAAGGAAGAATGTTCTTACCCAGTTGTCGTGTGCCTTTTTCTCGTGAGCAGCAATCTGAGGAGCAAAGAAGCATTTTAGTTTATTTTGTCCAACTATGAGTATTTCCAATAACTCACTACAGAGCATTGCAAAGATGCAGTAACACAATAACCAGCAAGCAAGAAGTGTTACCTGGTTTTTGTAAGATCTCTCTGTTTTTAGCAATTCTTCTTCCATATCTTGGATCCTTTGCCTGTACAAAAGGAGAAAAGAGGGGAAGGAGAGAGGTTTAAATTCATTTTCTTCAATAGCTGAAATAAAGGAAAACAAGTCTTCAGAAACTGAAATTACTTGTAAACTTTGACTTCCTCGATGGCCAGCACAGCTTTTTCATCTGCAGCAGACAATTTCTGCTCCTTCTCCTGACGCTCATATTCTTCCTGGGTTAGTTTTCTGCATAGAGGAGGGAAGAAAAAAAAAATCATCATATATTCCACCATCCTATATCTACTACAATTGAAAAATCAAGGTCCTCCTCTGCTAACAGTAGGGCTATGAGAATCTATAGTAATGCATGAGAACATAGAAAGAGAATACAGAAAGATTTTTATCTTTTTAAAGAGAGAGAAATACTGTCTTTTGAAACCAACAGACAAAACCCCTTTATGTACAAAACCTGAAAATTAAGGACACAGAGTTGACTGGGAAGTTCTTTCAGCATTGAAAGATTTATCAGAATCTAACAATTGCAGACAGATCATCTCTTCAGATCCTGTACTTTACCTACTAATTACACAGATGTTAATCCAGATTTACAATGGTACAAACAAGGAAATACTGAGACCTGACATCTAACCAAGGGAAACAGAAATGACAGTAGTGAAAAAGAGGGAATTTAGGGCCCAGGTGACAAACACATTCAACAGTCATCAACTGTGTGGAAAGCAGCTTTTTTCTAAGTATTCTCCATACCAATTTATTACATGACCAATCTCCACAGTCTCCTGGTTCACTAATTTTTTAATTTCTGACATTTTTCTGGCTGTATTTAATACGCCCATATTGTGTCCCTAACTTAGAAGAGCTAACCCACAAAACTGGGCCCATTAAACTACTAGTAACTATTGCTAACAGCCAGGCCAATATCAGCTATTTTTTCAGCTAAGTGTGGAAATGGTTTTTCAGAGAAAAAAAAAAAAAAATGCAGGAAGTCCTTCATTCTAATCAAGTAGTAGTAACAGGCAGTGTAGCTTCCTACAACTTTTGGAAGGAACAGAAATCTTTTCCAAGAGGTCAAAGGGAAGTTTTCCTTGAAAGGTGGGCTGTCCTTCACCTCTCCGTGATGTGTTTCCTACACCCAGATCCGAAGTTAGGAGCTCAGGCAGTCTGACTGCCCTTCCCTTCTTCCAGCCCTCTGCTTCCCCCAGCCCACACACTTCCAGCTCAGAGCTTTCCATTCCTCCTGCACCACAGTCTCACTTTTCCTACAGAATTTAGCACAAAATGTTCCTGAATCTAACTCTCAATTTTCCCCACAAAATGGAGATGGTATTACAAACATTTCAGTAAGTAAATAAATGAATATATAATAGAGGAATGAACACAGAGACACAACTAATTCTTCACAGCTAGCAATTCATTCATCTCAGCTGCCACTACGAACTCAACCTTAAATGAGCACTTTGAGAATGAAAAAAGCTCACGATGCTAAAATACTAACTTTCTATGTTATAAGAATTTCATTGAACTGAGGTCTGAATAACTGAAAGAAATCTTAATGGCCACTATATTCTCCTTAACATTTCTGGACCATGTGATAAAGCAACCACAGCAACATGACAATTGCAGACCAACCCACCCATCTTCCCTCTCCAAAAGTGGTTTGTTCTTTGTTCTTTTCAGCAGTAGAAGGGAATATTGTATATGCAAAGTGACAGTCTTTTGAGAATCTCTGGAATGGTGGAAAAAGTGAAAAAAGGGGTACAAGCTTCAACCCTACTGAAAGACCAGTCATCACTTTTCATTCCAAATCCAATTTCATGTTATTTGATCTTTCTGAGCCAAGAGCATTTGGATAGTACCTGTGATACAACATGCTGTTGCAGAAGAGTAACAAAAGGCTTACTTTTGGAGCGCCATCTCCTTCTGCTGGTAAAGTTCACCGAGAATCTCCACTTTCTGCTGCAGTGTCTTGCATTCGTTTTCCAGCTGAGCTTTGGCTGACTGGAGTGAACAGGAGTCATGTTCTAATTTTTTGATTTGTTCTGTTGGAGAACCAAAAGGTAGGTGAGGAAGCTGAAGGAAGTTGCAATGAGAACCATTATGTTATTTAAACCCTCTGTTTGTCTTCAAGCCACAAACAGCAGTTCTTCCTAAGCAACTTTTTTGCTAAGCCTACCTTCCAGCTCATGTCTTGCTGTTACTTCATCGCTCAGTTTGGATTGCAGAAGATTTCTGTCTTCTTCAACTATGGATAACATAGTTTTTACCTGAAAAGAGGAGCAAAAAGTTTATGAACATAGGCATAGCATTAATGTGGCTGCATTTATGAAATATCTTGTGCAACATACCCTGGAGACATCCATCATCTGCTTAATCTGAGCCTTCATCTTCTCACTCTCATTATCTAGAACAGAAAAATACGTCGGTTCTCCCCGTTTCTTGCCCCAAATTCTCTGGACTCTACAGCTGTTAAAACTAACACTCCCTACACTTTGATCTAGGATAAGTCTCCTTTTGTGGTAGAAAAAAATAAGAAAAAAAATCTGTAAAAAGAGGAAAAAGAGCGGGATATGGGGAACAAAGTACAATAGCAATTTCATGACCAGCACAACAAAACTATTAATTTATTCCAAAAGGCACCAAGAAGATTCCTTTTTGTGACTTTTTGTAGCCACCATACTGATACTAATGGACCGGACATAGTATCTGAAAAGCAAAAAATGGGAACTTCCAGCCTACAATTACAGTATGGTTACACACACACACACAAAAAAAAAACAACAAAGCCAAGATTCTCAGCTTTCAGAATGTTCTTAATTACTAACCTTTATATGTAATCTTTAAAACTGCCATTACACTTACGATATACCTCATAGGTAATCCAAAAGCAATTATTGGCCTTTTTAACCACTTCTCCCTTCACTTAGTTATGAGATATTTTTTAGTTGAGGATTCAAGCAGGCAGCTACAGGCACAGATTCCCCTTGAGACATGCCATGACCATACCCCCCCACAAGCTTTAGCTGCTGGGCCACCAGCCGGGCCACCGTACCTGGCACCTCTCCATTGGCCAGCTCCTCTCCCGTGCCCCACTCGCGCCCCTCACCATCCTTCTTGGCCTCAGACACCGAATCCATGTCCAGCTGCTTCAGCTGCATAATGCAGTTAGTTAAAACCTAGTAACAAAATCAAAGGCTCACTGAAGGAGAACAGCTCTGCATTTTGTAAAGTACTTAAAAGCATTTTATAATGTGTGCTATATAAATCAAGCTTGTTATAAAGAACCTACTTCGATTTCATTTTCCTTGTAGGCAAGTGCTTCTTCTATGTCCTTCTGAGATTTCTGATACAGTTTGATCTGCTCACTGAGCTCACTATGTCTCTCACTCCAACCTTCAGCTTCTTTTAGCAGCTGTATGAAGCACCAAGGCAAGATGATTACTTGTTTTATTTTTAGTACAGGGTATATGTAATTAAAGTCTATTTCACTGCCAGCTCTGGTGATAACTGATCACCACGGATCACAGACAAAGGTTAAACACAGCTATCACACTCATCACTACAGTAGAACTCATCATTGGTAGAACCAGATGCTAGGAATCTTTCTGCAATTTATATTATTAGGCGATTTTACAAATTCGACATTTTCCCAGCTAATATCCCAACATCAGAACCAAACTCCTCATGCACTTCAAAATATGAAGAATTAATTGCAGTCCACAGGTAATCAAACTGCATTCCTTAAAAGGGCATATCCTTCAGATCTGTCTATTTTCTTTCTCCATATATTTAGAATTATCTATAAAAGAACTACCATGACATTTCAGGTCCAAAGGTCCTCCCCATTTAGTTTAGCTTCAGAACTGCTTTTTGGCAATTCTTTACCATTACTTAGAATCATAGAATTGTTCAGGTTGGAAGAACTTTTAAGATCACCAAGTCCAACCATGGACCTAACGATGCCAAATTACCACTAACCCATGTCCCTCAGCACCGTGTCTGCCCGACTTTTAAATCCCTCCAGGGACAGTGACTCCACCACTTCCCTGAGCAGCCTGTTCCAATGTTTGATAACCCTTTCTGTGAAGAATTTTTTCCTAATATCCAATCTATACCTCTCCTGGCGCTACTTGAGGCCATTGCCTCTTGTCCTATCACCTTTACTTGGGAGATAAGACCAACCACCCCACCCTCGCTACGCCCTCCCTTCAGTCCTGAGTCCAAGCAGCTATCTCCTGACCATGAAGTGACCACCACATCAGCACAGACTTTCTGTGAAGCTGCTGGTAAAAACTGGATCACCGCAACTGGCAAAGCCTTCATACTGAAGATAGGTGGCTCACCTGCACAAAAAACCTGTGCAGGTAGGCACAAGGGTTTAAATTTTATCTTGAAAATATGAAATACTGAATTCTGATGCATTAAGAAAATCGAGACATGCTCAAGTTATACTCAAGAAAGCTAGGAGTAAAGCCTCAATATTTCATTCAAAAGAGAAACAAAAGTTGCCTGGCCTGGGCGTAACTTACTTGTTCCTTGCTCTTTTTCAGCCTAGCGTTCTCTTCCTGCACATGATGAAGCTCGGATTTCACCTTTTCTTCACTTAATTTAGCTTCATTAAGGGCTATCTGCACCTATACATGAAACCAAAAGAAACAAAAAAGATAAAGTCAAACTGTAATGGAGCAAGAGCTACACATTACGTGGTAACTGAAAAGGAAAAGGTATATATGCACAAACAACTTGGAATCTGCCAAGCTAGCATTTTTGATTACATCCTAGAAACAAATTTGGCTGGTACAAAAACCTGTACCTGTGGCTGTTAAGAGGGTGTAGATAATGCTTTACCTCCGAAAGCTCTACAGAATGCACACTGATAGCCTCTTGAAGTTTCTCCAAGGATTTCTGCGTTTCAGAGATCTATATAAGAAAAACATAAGTGATGATTTTGCATTAGCCCAGTACATGTCTTAGCCCAAGTGTGTAGTTACGTTACCTGTATATTTTGGAGGCATAAAACAAATGTCAAAACACCAACAAATTTCCACTTAGAGCAGCCATTAGATTAGCAACAGCACAGCAGTGCCTTATCAGCAAGGCAAGGAACAGAAATACACAACATATTAGAATCAACTTCCCCCTGTGAACTCTGCCTGTCCAGGGTTGGAAAAGTTCCCCGTACACCTGCATAGTCTAAAGCGAAAGTACCACGTGCTGCTGTCATTAGCAACAACCTTTGACCAAAACAAGACCAAAGAACTTGTCAGAGCTTATCGTTATTACAGAAAATCAGACTTAAAGGAGAAAAAAAAAAGGGGAAAATATAAACTGAAAAAAAAACCCAACTCAAAAAAAAAAACCCACCTCTGGACAAAAAGAATATGGGGGAGCTTAGAGATTTTAACGCTTACTATACAACTAGATACTTCCAAGTTTTAAGTTTTGACGTTTTGATAAGAGAAAACATCTCTTATCAATCGAAACCTTCAGCCCTGAGTGTTAAGGAAGTTCCTGGCTCTGGCTAGGAAGTATTAGACTAGCCCATGACTTGAACACATCTGTTTGTGTGTGAAAGCACGTAACCACAGAAGTTCATCAAGATCTTATTTAAAAAAAAATATAATCAATAAATTCAACCCCTTAAGCTTGGGATGAACCTGAAGTTTCAGTTCAGTTTTCTTTGAGATAGTTCATCTTGTTTGCTCTACCTGTCTCCCTCTGTTCACACATTAGGTTGTGACCAGTTTTTAGGGCATATTAAGTTAAGGACAATATAAGACATAAGCCTGATTGCTCTTACTTTGTTCTGTTTCTTCTCATTCTTTTTTCTCTCCGTTTCCAGCATCGTGTGCAGATTTTTTACTTTGTCATCTAACTGACGATTTTCTTCTTCCAGTTCTTTGAGAGTGTCCTAAAAAAAAAAAAAAAAAAAAAAAAAAAAAAAAAAAAAAAAAAA